AGTACATATACAGTACACATGTCCCGTACACTGCAGTAATAGAGTTACAATTATCCCCTGCTAACATTAATAGGTTAAATGATCTGTAGTACAACTACATATTTTGTACTATTATGTACTATGGATCTTTTAACCTATTCATGTTAGCAGGGGAGAATTGTAAATCTATTGCTGTAGTGTACTGGACGTGTGTAACGTACATGTACTACGTACTACATATAGAGTACACTGCAACAATAGATTTACAATTATCCTCGGTTAACATGAATGGGTTAAATGATCTATAGTACATAACATGTAGTTGTACTACGGATCATTTAACCCATTAATATTAGCAGTGGATAATTGTGAATCTATTGCCGGCAGTGTATTGGGAACGTGTACTGTATATATGTACTACATATAGAGTATACACTGCAGACAATAGATGTACAATTATCCTCTGCTAACATGAATGGGTTCAATGATCCGTAGTGCAACTACATGTTATGTACATATTATGTACTATGGAACATTTAATCCATTCATATTAGCAGAGGATAATTGTACATCTATTGTCTGCAGTGTGTACTCTATATGTAAAACATATAGAGTACACACTGCAGACAATAGATGAACAATTATCAACTGCTAATAATCATTAGTTCAGACCCCACTTGCCCTCACTCACTGCTCGTTGAAGGTGCCTCGCTGGTTGTAGTCCTCAGCGGCGCGCTGTGCTGGAGAGCAGCCGCGAGTCAGCGCTGGTCCGGTGGGAGGAGCTCCAGCTGGGGTCCTAATTTAGCTGGCCGGCGACTGCCAGAGGTGCCGCGCGTGTCGGGATCCTCTGGCAGTGGCTGGCCAGCTAAATTAGGACCCCACCTGGAGCTCCTCCAACTGGACTAGCACTGACTCGCCGCTGCTCTCCCGCACCGACCGAAGGTAAGTGGAGAAAAAAAAACACTGCAAGCATCGGGGCATTTTGACAAATACGAGTACTTGTCAAAATGCCCTGTTTTTTCCGCCCTCACCCTTCAGCGCCCTCAGGTGGCCGCTTGCCTTGCCTTGCGGTAGCGCCGGGCCTGGCTAAGGTGAAGATAGTGAATATTTGTACACTCTAAAAAAACTTATCCACTGTATGACCAGCAAAGCCTGATGGTGTCCGTACTGTAGAGGGTCAGTTACTTTATTTCAAAGCCCAACTAAGTTTAAATCAGCTAAATACATTCCAGGTGAATGAAAACAAAAGATGTGCAAGGTCCTACATTTCTGTTTCTTAGGAAAGCAGCCACAACCTGAGCAGAAAAGCCTGTCTGCTTTTCTGCCTTGCAGCTTTAGGGGTCCCTGATTCTGATCCCGGTCAGGACACTCTCTGTGGAGAACTGCAAGGAGTTTTCATGTTCTCCCTGTGCTTGCGTGGGTTTCCTCCAAGTGCTCTGGTTTCCCCCAGCACTCCAAAGACATGCATGAAGGCTAATTGGCTCCTGACTAATAATAATACTACAGAGAAATACCGTTTCCCTCTGTGTAGAAGCAAGGATCTCTTTGTAAGTGTTTGACGGGCTCCTTGCTGAGTCACATCTATTGCTTTGAAATCAGCAAAGCTCAAACTCCTGCTGATTGGATAGCTTTAGGACTGCTTTAGCAGGGGACCTCTACAGACAGACTACTGCTTCTACCAAGGGAACCTCTCTGCAGCTGCTGGCAGGGGAAAGGCTTTCATAAGAAAAGGAACTGTAAGACTTTGCACATCTTTAGTTTTAACTAACCTAGAATGTACTTAGCTGATTAAAACTAAAAGTTCACTTGGGCATCTCAGCACATACAGGACTTCTTGTCTTCCCTCCTGCAGGTGACTGAAGCAGCAGGGGGGCATTAAACGAAACTTGTTGCTTTGCCCTCTAACCGAATTAGTGTATAGCACAGTACATGACTCCACCAACTGTCCTGAATTGAGGAACAATCCTCTAATTTTGGGGATATGCGATGGAATGAAATATATAGAGCACCTTCTGTTTTATGAAGGTTGTACTGTGCCATGCAGTAGGAGGGCTTTTTTTGGTTGCTTTTGTCCCTTCTTTATATACTTTATATAGTTATAGTGTCTTGTTAGGTCCATAGCCCTACTCCATAGCAGTAATGCTTTCAATACAATCCAAACTGTACAGTATGAAGTTTGAAATAAATGCCTAGTAGTATTCTGCTATATTTGCACTATACACAATGCACTGGATGGCATTTGGCTGATGTAAAGCAATAATTTGCAAGGCTCTGCCCTCTGTCCTATTATAAAGAATGACTATCTTATTTTTGGAATACATAATGGAATGAGACATGTAAATACTTTGTTGTAAGAAGAATGTATGTGCTACAGACTAAAACTACTCTATGGTTACTTCATGTTGTACTAGGTGCTATTAGTACAGTATTTATATCTCATGTCCCGCTTGTGCCTCTTATCTGCCCCCTGCTGCACATGTTTTTCACATTAGAGGGATTTTTGGGATGACCTTGTGAGAAGCTGCTTTGAATTTGGGGTTACTAAAAGTGAAAGTACTTTGCCACAGGGTGCACACAAGGTGTAACTGAGAACACCAGATTATTATTTGAGCAGGACTTCACAGATATGACATGCAGAGAAGGTGGTGGAGTAGCCAAACATGTTTTGTGGCTGGCGGTGTCCCAGAATGTTACTGGTGCACTCTGGAGTAATGAAATCTGAAACTCAAATACATGCTAAGAGCATAGCTTAGCTACTCAATGCATTCAGGCCGAAATGTAAAGCAACAGGATACCCTACAGTAGGGGTAAGCAACCTTGGCACTCCAGAAGTTGTGGAACTACAATTCCCATGAGGCATTGCAAGACTCTGGCAGAAGCACAATAGGATTTGTATTTCAGCACAGCTGGAGTGCCAAGGTTGCCTACCCCCTACTGTATAAAACCACCAAGAACAAAGACAGCGGAATAGCGGAATAGTTAGAACTTTCTGCCCTGCAGCACTGGGCTCCAGGTTTCAATCTCACCAAGAGTGCTGACTTAATACAGATTGCTTGTTCTCTTAATGACTACTTGAGTTACCTTCCAATGCCATATTCTTTGGTTTCCGATCAAATCTGGTCTTAGGGTATCCCTGCTTGCTGTGGAAAATGGCAGTGCAATTTACATACACAAAATCATTTGGCATTTTTAACATCTAATTATGCCTAAATAGATGTAGAATCGAGATCCAGATAGATGTATACATGCCATTACAACACACTAGCCCCAACTCAGGCTTTCTGTATCATTTCATCCTGATTGCATCACAAATCCTTGTTTAAGCCCCAAAGAGTGGGAGAGTCTTTTCCCTGGAAATGAGTTGGCTTTTTCTGTTATTCTTAATGAATAAAGATAATAAATAAGTCACAAGTGAGATGGAAGTTTGTACTAGACACTCCGACCACACAGTAGATGCAGAGCAGGTAATTTAAACTCTGCATATTGTCTCTCAAACATAGAGAAGCTGCACATGATCATATAACAAGAGGCTACACTGCTGCCTCCATGTTCATGTTTTGAGCTGTTAATGATTCTACTTTCAGAGGTGACATTTTTCCTGTGTTGAAATGTATGGAATGTTTGAGGCATGGCTTGTGAATCACAGAGCTGACACTCTACCTCAGCTGCCTCTAGGCTCAGATCATCTCCATAAATCTCTTCTAAGTACCCCAGCCGAGAGGCAGCATACACCAGACAGAGGCAAGGTCCTCCACTGACAGGAGAGAGGAGGGGCTGCTATAAATTTTAGCTATCTTTGATGTTTTCTTGTGAAGAAAGATAGCAAAATGTCAAAATGACAAAAAAATAAATACATTAAAGTTTAGCCTGGAGTCAGGAAAGTGTGTTTTATCTCTTTGTTGCTTTTCTTTTCTGCCAGCCTGGGGACCAACAATCGCACCCTGGCGTCGCTTACTCATTTCCCAGGTCTATTTTCTTTTCAATGTACAACCTGACATCATCCCAATAGAATCCCCTGGTAGGCTTAGAAGTCTCCATCCACCCACTCTCTGTGGAGGGGGGTAAAACTTCAAATATTGTTGTCTCTACTAGGTATTTGTTAAGGGCAGGGGAAGGCAATAAATAATAATTTGTTTGGTGAGTGTGGCCCCACCCGCTGGGCTGGATCTTGGAGTGAGACTGTGAGTTTTCAGGACAAGACCTTCGTAGTCCCTGGATGATTTGGTCAGGACAATGCTTGGGGCTGCTGCATTACACAGCACCATGAAACTTCTGCTGGTATTAAACTACATAGACTTCTCTTCTGCGGATGAGGTCAGTTCATATAACAATACCTATTTATTCACATAGCACTTACTTATTCGACTTACCTGTTCTTTAGTGTACATTGTATGCAGAGAAAATAGCAAATCATCAATCATCAGTACCAGAAGAGCTAACATTCTAAAGCTTAAATATAAATCCTAAATCTAAAGTCGGTTGTAGCATGTTTGGGCAGCTTAATACATTTGCCCTATTTATTAACACCCGTCTAAGGTCAGTTTGGGCACACCAGCTAATTGATTAATATGTCATGGCATATGGTAGTTGACTAGAGCAGATAGGGTTCTTCTGGAACACAAAGCCTCAGTGCTATCAACCTAGCCACCATGATTCCAGTGAAGGCGATCACATTTTTTTTTTTTATCTAACCAGATTATCACACCTTTGTGAGATCATTGAACAGTCTGTGCAGTACTGAATAAAAAGTTGACAAGTTGGATTTTGATTTGGTTACCTGTTGTTCTAAAGTGAAAACTTCAAGATAAGCCTCCTAGTGAATTGCGTTCCTCTGTGGATAAGGTCATTAGATAGATCGCTTTCAAACAAAGGATGAATTTCTCTGTATAGGCTCTACTAATATTCACAAGTATTGTTAAATTGTCAATACGCATTACAATCAGATTGTACTACCATATTTAGATTTACCAAAAGCATGTAAGATGAGGGCCTACCTAAACAATCCATTCAATTTTTATTCCATCAGGCAGACCCTTGCACTACATGGTTGTTAATAGATGCAACGGAGATTGTAATGTGTGTAGTCACATTTGTAGATACAAATGCATGTGGTGATTCATTTGGTATACGAGTTACCTTCTGAGAGAAAGTGTAGCAAAAGTGATGAGTCTCTGCGGCATTGTTTGCACCTTAGGTACGGCATGGAACAAAAGTGTGTTTGGTGCACTTAGGGAATCCCCTTTGATGAGAAATGCTGCTGTTTCCTTTTGTATCAGTGATGATTCCCAGTGTCATCAAATAAGTGTTTTCCATATGGCCGGGGCTGACAGTTGAGCTTGCATTATGTGAGAGGCAGTTTGACATCCTGTGCTAATTCCTCTCACTCCATTCTGACCAATACAAGTAATGAGGGTGGCTGTAAAACTAATTACTGGTGAAGTACTGTGAACTACATTCTCAGCCATACCTGCCCACTGTCTGTGGTATTCAGCAGTACCAGGCAATAAACACTTCCCCTGGATATTATTTAAAAAAAGAGATTTGCTCTTCTTAATTTTAAAGATTAATTGGCAACTGAAACATTGGGATTTGTTTGGCCTCATCTGGAAAAACAGTATTAGAACTTCCTAAATCGATTGAACTTGGTGGATATTTGTTTAAATTATTACTCCAGCTAAAAAAAAATTGCTATTTTTGTGTCTATTAGGTTACAACCTGATTCACCTTCACTTTTTTACATTCTGGAGACTGTTATCACCAGGAACGAAAGGAGAAATCTAAAATGGGGACCCTAGTAGAGAGTAAACTACCAATGGGGATACCTGTTCCTGTGCCAACTGTCAACCTTTGGGCTTACCATTACACTCAAATAACTGAATATAACTGAAATAATAAACCTTATATTCTATCCCAAAAAAATAATGGTGTGGCCATAGTGTGATTAAGATGTTAATCACAACAGAAGTCTTGTCAATCTGATTGAAAAAAATCCATGTTGCTTTATGTAAAATATTTATCCTCTCCAGGGTTTACAGACTAACACATCATGGATAGAGTCTGAGGGACATGGGGTGGTCACCGAGCAGACTCTGGACCCCAGTCTTCACAAATACCTCAATGAACTTGACTTGAATACTTTTAAGGAAGAAAACCTTCTGCCAGTGCCAGGCCAAGCGTCCCACCCAATTCCCAGTGGGAAACCTATAAAGAAGGAGGATCAGTACAAAAAACTGAACCCCACAAAAGAGAACACCACAACAGACAAAAAGGAGAAAAGTCCTGCCACAACAGAACATCTGAGCACCGACAAATACACGGGAGAAATAATAGACTTAACTAAAAATGTCACCAAACCCAGCCCTTTGCCAACACCAAGAACTAACATTTCTTCCACAACGGTGGCAACACCTACCACAGTACAAGTGCAGGAGAACAAGACCAACACAACATTACAACCTACCTCATCCAGAGACGTTTACCCAGCAGGTGGGTCAGGAGACATTGAAGGTCTTAAGATCGACAATGAACCGACAAGTAAAAAACCAAAGAAGACACCTGTTCGAGGGTATCCAGGACCTCAAGGCCGTCCAGTGAGTAATTATATCTATGTTGTAGAATAACATATAGTTTGCATAATTTTTTAAGTAGATGGCTTCTTTTTTTTATTTACCTGTTTATCCTTCCTTGCTTTTAGGCATCACTAGCTTAACTTGATATTTACACACACAACTGAATGAGTCTGAGGAGCAACTTCTCTACCTCCATGCCAGCTGTGTTAAAAAGGGGGCTGTATGGTGCTTCAGTTAGAAAAGAAAGTCTGAATACAAACAGCTGCTGAAGTTCTTTCTCTTTCGATAATGTTTTGCTAATCCTGTGTTATTGATATTTTTTTTAAAGTGTTAACATAAAAATACAATAGTAAAAAAAGAAAGGTATTACATTACATAACAATTTGACATCATATACTATAAAAATATATAAAATAGAATTAACCCCAAGTTATTACAGTTACAGATAAGACATACACTAGGTCAGTGGTTCCCAACCTCTTTTTACGTGCATACCCCTTGACAGTCCGTTTGTATACACTGTACCCCGCGGTGGGGGTTGGAAAGGGAGGGGGGCTAATAGTGAAGCATATACAGTAGCAAATGATAGATGTGGCCACATTGCACAAACAGGAGGGGCTCAAATGCCACTGTGTCAGTGGGATAAAGAAGGGAGCTGGGAGGCGTGTGTGGGGGTTCTTTGGGGTATGCCATATTGCGGTGGTGTGTCCAGTGTTATCTTGGGGTCTCTTTGGGGTGTGATCTGTACATTGGATTCTCTGGATCTTGGGATTCTTGCCCCTAAGAGAAGCGAAGGGCACATCACTCAGCTGGGGACTAACTATAGAACTACAGAATGAGTGTTAGAAAATGCAGCTGCAAGATTACTCTGCAGACTTTCTGCACACATTTAGTCCATGCTTCTCCACTGCCACAGCTTTTTTCAGTAATTACAAACAAAATTTCAAGAACTCCTAAATGTGCTGTTAAGTACCCCTGGGGGTACTTGTACCCCAAGTGGGAACTGCTGCACTAGGTGATAATACCTGGAGGGGTAGAAGATACCAGGGCCCAGGAGGTGATGGAGTCAATTTACAGCTGATCCTCCTATTTATCCTCTAGCTGCATGCTTACATTTCAATCTCTTCAGTAATACTCTGGTTTTCCCATTTTTACGAGTCACTGCTAAATACTGAATTATTTAGTGCTAACTGACACCTAGCTGAGTTTATCTTTGAGCCTGAAATAGTTGTCTGAGGACAACTCTGAAGCTGAGAGTCAGAACTGAGAGGCCCAATGAGCTTTGGCAGTTGCTGCCTCATGCTGGTAATATGTGTTTTCTTCCAGCTTCTAAGTGTGCATAACAGTATGAAATAACCAAGCCCTGTAGCTGTAATATTGTTCTTAATTCCAAGGCTCTTTTATTTGATGCCCTTATGGCTTGCATGTCTCACTCTTGTATAGAGATGAGGTTCAGATTTGCTCCTACTTGCAAAGGATCTTGCAGGTTTGAAATTTGCAGTCCTGGCATATTTATGTGCCAATTTGCACAGGCTCATTTTTAAAAAAATAATGTACTGCATGGCCAGTAAAAAGCTTTAAGGAAAGCTGACAAAACTGCATAAGTAGAGTTTAGGGTCACTTAGGAAAACAGTTCTTTAATGTATGTTGTAATATTAAACTCTTAAACTTTTTTTTCAACAATTAATCCAGATTAAACAAGTACACATTGTCCAAAGAAGTTTTTTTATTTTTTGCCCAAGCACTTACAGTCATCATGTCTCCAAACAGTTCACTCCAACTATCTCAGCTCTGCTTCCCTAAACTTCCTCTCCAGTACAAGATCACAAGAGAGCACTACTCCAGGAGCCGTCTATCTACTAGTTGGGAGAAGGGAAGTGGGAAGAGCAGGAGAGTGGCTTGCCTTGCTGTGTGTTTGTGGTATACAGAAACAAATGTTTTTCAGCACACTCACCAGCCAGCCTGCAAAAAAAAAAAAAACTGTCTAATTATTAGGGTTAACATCAGAGGTTTTAGTTGCACAACATTTGCAAAATATGTGGAAGCCACACTGCTTCGTTAAGGCCCCTCTGTGTAGTGTGGTCCCAACCGTAATCTATGAAAGCCTCCATCTTGGAGCATATAAAACAAAGGATGAATTGGGTGCAGGTTTGCCAGGAGGTAGGCCAATTCTTCTTAAAGGCGCAGGGACACAGCAGAAGCCCAGCACATCACAACAGCAACTGAAGCCTGCACCCAAACAATTTGGGAACTAAACTGTTGTATAGCAAGACATGCTAACCTCAGAAGATGGTTCCTTGCTGTACTTGCCACAGGTTCATAAGCACAAGAGGAACACACATTGCAGATATGTCCATGGTGGCAATTAAATCCAGTGCTCCGAGCACCCCAATATAACAGTGCAAACCTGTTAGCTGCTGTGTTGAAATTTTGCAGATAAGCTGCCTGTGTATTTCAGGGTTGCCCAGGTCGGCCTGGACTTCCTGGTCCTAAAGGAAACAAGGTATGTCTACATGAATCTTTTAGATGTAAATTAGTCTTGGAGTAGTTGGAAACACATTTTTGTTTGCTTTTAATGCACAGTATATACCTCTAATAGCTATTTGTTTTAAGGGTGATCCAGGGCTTATGGGACGAACAGGGATGACAGGCAATCCTGGGCCCCGTGGACCTCCTGGGCTGCCTACAGTAATGATTTGGAGCAATTCCCCGGAGGACTGGGCAGCATTCTATGTAGGTTTATTTATCATACAACATGTTGTGTTTTTGTATATATTTTGTTTCTTTCTTTATTATGTTCATGACTAAAAACTAACGTTCTTTAGTTAGGTAAATATAAAATATTGCAGAAGAATATTGAAAATGTAAAAATTTAGCCATCAAGTGTTCTGGGCTCATGTTCACACTCAATAGAAACATTGTTTGTTTTACTTAAAGCATTAGAGACTGTTCATATTGCAAAATGATTGTTGACTTAGCTTAAAGTGACATTAAACTCAGGAATACATTCAAGTATCCTAAATATTAACAAAAATGTATCTTATTTGTGTATCACTCGGCTGATCCTCAAATAATCTCTGTATTGGTGCTGACACTGTCCTTCCTTCTGGAGGGTGGTTACTTTTGTTCCCCATGGACCCTGTGTGTGTTATAAAGTAGAACAGTAGAAAGGCATCATGGCACACTCACAAACCAGCATGTAAAACAACTTGTCTCACCACTAAGGACAATGACAGAGGTTTGGATACACGTCTTCTGCAAAGGATGTGTAAGCCGCACTGCCGCGCCAAGGCACCTCTTATAGTGCGGTCCTAACTCTAAACTATGAGAGTCTCCATCTTGGAGCACATGAGGGCAGTAGATATCAAATTGGGTGCAGGCCTGTCAGGAGGACGCCCCACCTCCTTAAAGGTACAGAAACACACAAGGGATCCCGCACATCCCATTGGCAGCTGAGAAACCCCATGCGTCACTGCACCAAATTGGTAAAGCAAAACAAACGACAAACGCACTAAACAATTTGTTACCAGTTATACAGTAAGGTGCACACGAAATGGGCTTTGAACAGTAGAACAGTAGAATGGCATCATGGCACACTCACAAACCAGCATGTAAAACAACTTGTCTCACCACTAAGGACAATGACAGAGGTTTGGATACACGTCTTCTGCAAAGGATGTGTAAGCCGCACTGCCGCGCCAAGGCACCTCTTATAGTGCGGTCCTAACTCTAAACTATGAGAGTCTCCATCTTGGAGCACATGAGGGCAGAAGATATCAAATTGGGTGCAGGCCTGTCAGGAGGACGCCCCACCTCCTTAAAGGTACAGAAACATAAAGTAGCCACCACTCCAAGCTCACACCTGTGATAGATTACAATCTCAATACAAATAAGAACACTAAACATGCGACTGTACTCAATCACAGAAGCGAGCTTGGAGCAGTGGCTACTTTACACCACACACAAGGACCATGGGGAACAAAAGTAGCCACCCTCCAGAAGGAAGGGTAAAACATTATAATACAAACACAAAAACAAATATTGAAGCTGCCATTGCTTGTCTCCTTCTAAAATTGCAAGTTGCCTGGCTGTGTGTCACTCATGTACAAGCAAGCATGAAGCAAACAAAAGCAGAGAATAGCCAGAATACCGATCTGCATATTTGTAAGAGAAGCCCTGGAAGAATGAATAATAAAAGAGTATAAGAGAGAAAGAGAGTTCCAGAAAAAGGAAGCAGAATAAGAGAAGGCACCTATGAATGATTACTATGTGATTAAAAGGAAGGAAGTGATTTGTAGAGAAAGGGAGCAGCACTAGGGAAGCCCTGGAAGAATGCTTAATAAGTGGATAAAAGAAGGAAGAGAGTGTCAGAGATAAAGAGGAGGACAGCAAGAGAAGGCCTGGTAAAATGGTTAGTAAGTGGGTATGAGAAGGAAGAGAGCTCCTGAGATAAAGAGGAGCACAACAAGAGAAAACATGGAAGAATGATTAGTAAGTAAGCATACGAAGGAAGAGAGTTCCAGCGGTAAAGAGGAGGACAGCAAGAGAAGGCCTGGAAGAATGATTAGTAAGTGGGTATAAGAAGGAAGAGAGTTCCAGAGATAAAGAGGAGCACAACAAAAGAAGGCCTGGAAGAATGATTCATAAGTGGGTATAAGAAGGAAGAGAGTTCCAGAGATAAAGAGGAGCCCAGCAAGAGAAGGCCTAGAAGATTGATTCGTAACTGGGTTTAGGAAGGAAGTGAGTTCCAGAGATAAAGAGGAGGACAACAAGAGAAGACCTGGAAGAATGACTAGTAAGTGGGTATAGGAAGGAAGAGAGTTTCAGAGATAAAAAGGAGCACAAGAGAAGGCCTAGAAGAATGATTAGATGATAGTAAGTGGGCTTAGGAAGGAAGAGAATTCCAGAGATGAAGAGGAGCACAACAAGAGAAGGCCTGGAAGAATGATTAGTAATTGGGTATAAGAAGGAAGAGAATTCCAGAGATAAAGAGAACAGCAAGGCCTGGAGCTCCAGAGAAAGTTATCAGAATAGGAGAAATTGTAGATATGTAACAAGTGGTGACCAATGAGGAAGAAATAAGTAGTCAATGAGCTCACTGAAAGTTCCAGACACTAAAGAAGAGCTAAGTTACATTGTCAGACAGTTTAGGGCTCTATTTGTCCAAGCTTATACTTAGACTTGTATCCTGTGCAGGGCTAACACAGAGAAGCAGAACTGGAGCTGTCTTCTATACAGTACAAGCTGTTTCCTTACCATTGTTTCGCTTCTTTTTTGCAGCAAACATCATTCTATCAGCTGCTGCACGCAGGCTGGCCTGTGAGTGTGCCCTTCGTTATCACAAGTGGCCTGATCTCTTGGTACAATGGAGCCTCTTCTGTCTTCTAGATCTATTTCTATAGGGGAACGTTAATGCACTAGCTACAACTAAATGAAATTACTAGCTTGTGCAAAATGAGCTAAATGCTGAATGTTGGGAGAAGACGGGGGACTTTATCCTACACACAACCAATATCTTGACCATTTTCCCAGGGAAAAATATTGCCAATTGTCAGCGTCACTTCAAGCAAAAGTGGCCATGCTAACAATACCCTGTTGGTGTAGTGAAGCTAGACTTTTCATTGTATGAAGATTTCACTGCATATGTTCATATACATACTGACCTTGTACATTAGACTCTGTTTACCCGGACTTAATGGAGGCTCTCTGCAGAGAAAGTCTGGCTAGAGTGAGAAAATGTCAACATTTCTACCAAGTTTATAGTTCTTCCTGTGACCCCATTGCCCATAATCTCCCTCACTTCCTGTCCCTGCGACAGCTGTACAAGAAATGGGGTGTACAATTGTCATGGAGATCGATATTTCTATGACACTTAGTTGTATTTACATATGTGTTATGTATGTATATAATATAGCTTTAAAAACATGTTACACCCATTTTTACACAATATCTATTTATATCCAGCACCTCTACATTACAAAAAGCTATTATGATCACAGTATAAGAGCAAGTGGCCTTATTTAATAACGTAATTTAAGGATTTGCATAACAGGTTATTTGTTCTTACAGTAATCAGGGATATTCATAACATTACCAATCCCTGTGTGGCAGTGCAATGCCATACTTTCTGCATACTTTCTGTGTGCTATTAAACAACAATATTGTATGATAGCTTTCAGCGGATACACCAACCCTCACTTGAATTAATTGATCAGTCTTGTTAATAAGAAGTTCATCATGAAGTCCCATAGTTAGATTTATTCATATTTTATAGCTCAAGGAAATGGAATGGGTAATTTGAGGAAGATTATTTTTTTAAATATATATATATATATTTTAGGCACAGTTTTCCCATTATGTAGCATGTCCCCAACATCTGTATAATAGATTCAATAGTTTTTAGAATATAGTATCATTTGTATGCAGAAAAATGGAACTCTGTTGGCTGTTTATGTACATTGCACAAAGGTATAGTATTTTTCTGAACGTAGCCTATCTGTTTTACGGGTTTACTTTTTAAAATATCTGTTTGTTCTACTTTATAGAGAAGTCGAGGACCACCAGGTCTGCCTGGTATACATGGAAGACCTGGAACACCGGTGAGAAAATGGCTGAGATTGTCCCTCTTAAAAAAGGCTTCTTAAAATTAGAAGCATTGATGTTTTAGTAAGAATGTGGACGCTACTTTTTATAAGAATGAGAAAGCAGCATGGTAGCTATGTGGTCAACACGCATTCCCTGAGGACCTGGGTTCTCTTCAGCGTGTTCTGTACTCAGATTCTCCAAGTACTGTGAAAACAATAATAATTGGAGCTGTATAATATTAATAGTTAGTGACTGTGGTGGGACATTAGTGTGTAGGCTTCTCTGGTACAGAGACTGGTATGAATGCCTCAATGTTCTCTGTACAAAACTGTGAAATAAGAAAGAACTATATACTGTAAAAGTATTATAAAAATTTGTATGTGACATTAGAGACATTTGTGACATTAGAGTGTTAGCTCCTCTGATAGAGAAACTGATATGAATGTTTCATTGTTCTCTGTACAAAACAGCAGAATATGTCAGAAGTATATAAATGCATAATAGTTACGGATGCACCGATACTGATACTAGTATTGGTATCGGTGCCGATACCGAGTATTTGGGTGAGTACCCATACTCGCCCAAATGCTCCAATACTTACCTCCAATTCCGGAACTTCTGGTGAGAAGAAGATCTCTTTTTGACAGTTAGTGCCGAGGGAGCATGGAGCCGGCTTCCTTTCCAATCAGGAAGCTGGGCTGTGGGTTATGAACCGCCTCCCGGCTTCCTGATTGGCTAGGAAGTCGGCTTCACTAGTTGCTAGGAAGCCTGGCTTCCTAACCAATCAGGAAGCCGGGCGGCACGTAATGAGGCTGCCTAGGAACAAGTGAAGCCGGCTTCCTAGCCAATCAGGAAGCCGGGAGGCAGGTCATGACGTGCCGCCCAGCTTCCTGATTGGTTAGGAAGCCGGCTTCACTTGTTGCTAGGTGGCCTGGCTAGTATAGTATAGCTATATAAATGGATAATAATAATAGTGTGTGACTGTGGTGGGACATTAGAGTGTAAGCTCCTGTGGTGGGGAAAATGATGTGAATGCTTTAGTGTTCTCTGTACAACACTGTGGAATATGTCAGAGCTATAGAAATGTATATTTATTTACTAAGGGGTCTATTCACAAAGCTGCCGAGGGCAGCCGAGTGAATGACCGATCAGAAGTGAAGTGAGCCGAACACTGTTCGGCCATTCACTTCAGGCTGGTACGGCTGATTTCAGCCGTACATTGGCTGAAATCAGCCGTACATCGGCTTGCTTCGTGTGGCTTCGGATCAGCCGAAGATGCTCAGCATATCACAGAAATCACTGCGCTGGGAATGCGTGCCTAACTACCTGATTGGACCAGCCGCAACAATGTGTATAGGTGAACAAATGTAAAGCAAATATGTTGCGCTCATATTGCGCTAGCGGTGTAGTAAAACAACACAGAAAACTAAAATTTAAATCGTGATATTAATTCAAGCTGTGAACAAACTTTGAAAAGGAAGGAGGGGCTCTGTGGTGGCCCTCCAATACTCAAAAAAAAACAAAAACGTGCAAATAAATCAAAACTCTAAAATAATAACAGCAAAGAAACTGACATTTCAAGGGGCATGTAATCAATTTTTTCACACGGATTGTTGTAATTTTCACACAGATTTGTTTATTAACACTTTAGTGTGCAGTTGGTTCACATAGACCAAACCGAACATGCTCAGCATGTTCGGCTGACCCGAAGTGCAGAAGGAGTTCGACTCAAGGTACCTGCCCTCAAGGAGCTTACAATCTGGGGTCCCTATCTCACATAATAATAGTATATGACTGTGGTGGGATATTAGAGTGTAAGCTCCTCTGGTGCAGAGTCTGTTATCATTGAAGGGCTGTGGACCATGTTGGAAAATTTGTCACTAAATAAATATACATGTAGTTTGACGATCGGGTTATTTTCTAACCTTCTGTCGCCATCTAGTGTCTGTGTACAGCATTACTTCCTAGCCAGAAAAAATGACTAAACTACAATGTATCTCACAAGGTTTTTATCTTCCTTTACAGGGAATCACTGGAACTCCAGGGTGGCCGGGTATAAAAGGACAGTGCGGTCCTATGGTAAGAACTGTCCTTCCGAAATTGAGTTAAAGGTCAAGCGGTACAAATTAAAGCACTTAAAACACTTTGACCAAAATCTAATTTTTTTCAAACTCTCACTTCTGATGGAGCAGAGTATGGTTAAAGCGTCTGTCAAGTTTTTTTAGTTGGAGAGATTTCACTTAATTTCACTTCAGTCACTAAAACAGCAAGTAAAGGGAAATCCTCCCAGCAGGTATACAAACTGCAACAAAAGCCTGCCTGAGATCCTAACCCATATATGTTCTATCAATATCTATCACATAAAAAAAATAAAAAAAACTCTTTTGGCTAGAGTTCCAATTTAAAAAACAAGCAGTACAAGTAGTGATGCTTTAGCTTGTGAAAACACCCTTCATGCCCAGACACTTAGCATATATCGCTTTTGGCTTTAACCCCAAATATTATAAAGGCATGGCTCTTTGTAAATCAGCCGCTGCTCCAGTCCAGATTTTTGTAGTCATAATAAAGAATAGCTTGTTGATTCAAAACTAGTAGCTTCTGAAATCAGTAAATGCAAACATTTAAGACTTTCAAGTATTTTTTCTTTGAATAGGAGTGTCACACATATGTAGTCCAGAGCCTAATACCCACAACAGTGTTGTGTCTGTTCCGTACTGCAATGCTTTACTATTGTATTGTGCACAATTTAAAATTCTCTGTGTGAATTATTGATTCATTTTATTCTTACTTGGCTGTATCTGAAAAGTGATCACTTGGTAAAAAACATCTAAGGCACATGTTCGGGAGTGTCACATGACACATATGAACAACACTAAGTAGAAATTGTGGTAGAAATGAAAAATGTTCATTCTGTGGGTGTCCAACATTACACGGCGTGTGGTCCTTGGTGTATCTCTCATTCACTCTGTACGATCAGGCCTCTGTCTCTCAGTGTCTCTACTGCAATGATTGCTAGATATATCTTTTTTGCAGGGGCTTCCAGGAACACCAGGAGTTCAAGGAATATCTGGAATTCCTGGGCAGGATGGCAATCCCGGATTAGATGGTAAAGTGGGATCACCCGGAATACCAGGAGCTAAGGTATGCAAGGACAGAGAGGCTTCAGAAGCTGGGCAAGGAATTGAGGGAAGAGGTATTACACAGGCAGAGACTAAGTACTGGAAGTATGGTTGGCAATTGTCGCTAAAGGCAGTAAAGTAAAAAATATCTTTCTGTTGGCATATGAGCACCATAACTATCACATATGACAATGTGACGTGCACTGACCCAAACTTAGGTGTTATAAAGCTAAAGGCACATCAGTTTTATTTTCCAAATGGCACATATTGTAATGAAAAAAACCATCAAAAAAGCATCACCACCTGTCAACATTCTGCAATACAAATACCTGTACTTGTTTGCCTTTCTTGGGGAAGAATCATACAAATTCCAATGCCATGGCCCATTGGGTGTACAAATAGTCATAGTCGGCTTAAAGTCCAGTTGGAGTCACAGAAATAGACATGAAGACCAATAGATATTGTGTCTTTTTTCACAGTCTGGCTTACACTTTCCTGCCATAGCAGTTGCACAGTGCGTCTTAATATGACTGCTCTGTCCAATAGCCACCAAGGTTTGTTTGCGCTTGCCTTGTGCTCTCCATAACAGACCTGGTCAGACACACGCCCTGTATTCCATCACACTATAGGATGCATGTGATGAGTGGTGTGACCAGAACTCATCTATGCCAACATAGATCACTGGAGTGGGAGGGTAGGAAATGCATTTCCACTGACAGAACCAGGCATTTTTAGGCATTTCTAAGTAGTAATCAATTAAAAATCATAACATTTGGCAGTATAGGAGTATAAAAAGAAGAAAAGGTGTGAGACTTCAGTATTGTTTTAAAGAGAAAGATGGATCTGATTTTTCTCTAGGGAATTTGATGCATCCAAAAATATCACCTCCTGATAACTTACAAAACTGGTTCGCAGTGTCCAAAATTTATGCCAAAAGACAAAAGTGCTTCCTGACATTTGTGAACATTTTTTATTGGTACACTAGTTGAAATGCTCTCTCTGCTGTATGGAAAAATTGTGATTATTGGGACGAAATGGGCCCATTGTTAGTGTCAACTATGCTTCTTATTAAAATATACAAGTGCAATAATTCAGACAAGCCTCCGTCTTCACATCTATAGGTAGTGGATCATTAGTGGACACCCTCAACCCATTACTCTTGTGGAATTAATCAGTTGGTTGGTTTGTTTTTTTAAGTGAAGCCAGTATGGGCATTGATGTACTAACCTTCTATATTAAAAAGTAATTGTACAGTTGTTTTGTGATTAGCTCTATATCCAATGTGTGTCTTTTTTTCAGGGGCCACAAGGCTTCAAAGGTGATCAAGGTCCCCTCGGTGAAAAAGGAGATGAAGTGAGTTCTCAGCTATGTTTCTAAATTTGTTGGCTTTGTACTCACCATTCTCATGTTCAGTCCTGGATAGTTTTACTAAACTTCACACTTTGAGATAACAAGGTGAGACTCTTTGCTGATTGGCTGAGAAGCCAGTATCCCAACCAATCAGCATGGAGCTGGCCAAACAGCATGGAGTCGGCTTCCCGCGCACTCAAGAAGCCTGGTGGTGGGTAATGACCCCGCCCAGGTTGCTGATTGCTTGGGAATCCAGCTCCATGCTACCGTAGCAGAAGTGCCGGTATTGGTGAGTACCGAAATATAAATATCGGTACTCGTACTCGATCATTAAAAAACAGTATCGGTGCATCCCTAGTATAAATGAATCCTCCCACCTTGTGACCCACCACTTTATGATTAAGCTTACTGCTGAGTGAAAAATTCAGGTGAAACTCGAATAATAAGAATATCGTGCAAAGTTCATTTATTTCACTAATGCAACTTAAAAGGTGAAACTAATATATGAGATAGACTCATTACATGCAAAGCAAGATAATTCAAGCCGTGATTTGTCATAATTGTGATGATTATGGCTTACAGCTCATGAAAACCCCAAGAACCCCAAATCCACAACCTCAAAAAAGTAGATTATTACATGCAATCAATAAAACAAGATTTGTACATAGAACAATATCGGACCTCTGAAAAGTACAAGCATGCATATGTACTCAGTACTTGGTTTGGGCTCCTTTTGCAGCACTTACTGCAATTACTTTTGCACGATATTCTAATTATTCGAGTTTCACCTGTATTAGAGGGTGGAGGTTGAGGCAATTTTACTATTTGCACCAGACTGATTAGTGAACATCCATATTAGCTTTTATCTTGAAGTGTGGCTTCCGTAATCTTTACAATGATTGCATATTGAGTGACGGACTGCTTAGAGACAGTACCTATACCTGGGTGTTTACAGACACGAATCTGCAGTGGTGTCCTTGATCATTTCATTCCTTAAAACGTTACAGGATTTCACCTCTCTCTATCATTTGCATTATACTTCTATCTGCTAGTTAACAGGTTATTAACCTTGTTTTGACTTATACATATTATCATATTACTACCAAATGCATGTGCATTCTGTAATGTACTGTATATTCGATTGGGGCTGAATTCTTTCCATATTAGGGTCTTTGATGAGAGACTTTGGGTTTTGATGGCACCAGTATGACATCAGTTTGAGAAGCTTGTAAGATCATTGAGAATTCATTAGCAGGGGTAATTGGCCTGCAGTTGACCTCCTTCTGTCCTGCACTTAAGCTGCTTAAAATTTGCTTTGCGTTCTTCTAGACCTGTAAGATATGCAAAACTTGTATGACATTTAAAAAAAGCCTGTTGACACGGGCCCTTATTATTCTTGGAGTCTCATGTATTATAACTATTCAAATTATGTTATTCCTTTGAATCATATATAAAATCTGCAAACAGCAATAATCTAGCATTTGGTGTGCTAACTCATTCGATATAAATATACAGTCTGGGTTTTGTTAGGATACATTTTCAATTTAAATTAGGCACCCTTTATGTACTCTGAAGCTAAGCCTTATGATGTGTAAGTTTGTATGCTTATGAAGAGGTGTGAAATTCTGATCTCACTAACACACACATAAATATCACATGGTTGTAGAATTGGTATTTTCCCTCATGACATGGAGCTCTAGCTTCAATGGCTGCATACTTGTTCCATGTCAGTGACTCAGAAAGGGTTGAAGCTATTGGATTAGCATGGCAGCCAACTAGCATTTTCAGAAGACAAGGTCACCAATGGCAGCCTTTGTACTCCTCTGATCATATGTTTGCTTTAAAGTGGCCCTGTCACCTCTTTATAAAAATAGATGGGCATGCTGCCTGCAAATTAAGTATTTTAATAGTTACCAGTCCAATTGCCTGCACTGTCATTCTGCTCTGTATTCCTGAGGTACCACTGCCTGAAGATTCTTCAGCTTCAGCCTCCCACTGCACACTGTGGTGCATTCTGCCCACCCAGGTGTCACTACTATGATCTGTAGTGACGTAGGGATGGTAGGAGAAGCTACAGGGAGCCCATCGAAGGACCAGGCATCTGACACTCTCAGAAATGGGGGATACAGAAGACACTTCAGGTAGTGGAATCTTAGGATTGCAGAGCAGAATGACATCACAACAGTGGACCAGGTAAGTATTAAAAGTATTTTATGGCAGGGAGCATGTTCTTTTATTTTATATGAAGGTGACAGTGTATTTATAGCAGATTACATTGTGAACGCAATGGTTATGAGGACTTTTACTCAATACTCTAGTTTTGTGCATTTGTTGTAGGGCTTCCATGGAGCTCCTGGGTTTTGCGGTGAAAAAGGTTACGAAGGAATAAAGGTAAAAATTATCAGTTTAAATGCTTATATAAAATCTAAACACAGTACACTTGTCACTTAAAACCGAGGTGTAATTGTTTGGGTGGGTTGCACTTTTTAATTTATAGATTCTATAGAAGTGTGAAAAAGTAATTTAATGTATGACCAACCTTTACAGAAGCACATTGGTGGTGTGTTGTGGCTTTACATATATTTGCAAGTGCATATAGCACAGACCTCTGTTTTAATCTCAGAGCTAAAAATTGTTTCCATCGAGGTTCTCTGTGCTGGCTTGTTGCATTAAGTGGTGGGATTTTTTGTATTTTGGTATCAGAAGTAATTCTAATTCAGTTTCAGTTCAGTAATTCAACTTGTTTCTGGTTGTAGGGAGAGAAGGGAGAGCCAGGTCCTCCAGGACATGCAGGGTTGCAGGTAATATTTATCAAAACTTTTAACATCAGACTTTATAATTTATGCTCCAATATGTGATTTTTTTCAGCATTGGCAGCTGACAAAAGTATTTGTCACTTAAAATGGGCTTGGTTAGACCCATGAAGTGTAGTTCTTTCCTAACATGATAAATGGACATTTTGTGAACATGGTTCACATATAGGGCATAATACAGGGCTAGACAAATCCCTTGATCCAGGGAGCCAATTCTCCTTAAAATTTACAGCTGTGTCCAACTTTGGGGTTTTTCTCTAGTTGTGGTCAATGGAGCTGGCTCCAAAATAAAATCCTGCTAGCTCCTGGATTGTACAGACTGGCTCCTAATATCTATATTAATTTGGCCATCCTTGTCATGCATCATAGTCACTAATTCGATTTCAATAATCAGATTCTAAGTTGGAATCTGATTTATGGTCTGTTGTCAACACAGTTTTTCATTTTAATAATTTTTTTAAAGAAAGTTTATAATTTATCAATGACAATACAAGTCAAGCCTGGGATTCTATCTGAACTAACAAAGTGCTTGAGATCTAATCGCTGTGTTCTGTTCCTGCAGTGACACAATTGTCCCATATACACAGCAGATCTGAAGAAAAATACATCAATGTGTATTCTGTAGCTTTGGTTGCAAACTCTTTTACAAAGGACACATTGAATATTAGTTACAGCATTCCTTTAATTTAATCCTAATTCATTTTATTTTTATGTTTTTAGGGCTTGATGGGACTAAAAGGGACCCATGGATTTCAAGGGATTCCAGGACCATTTGTAAGCCAGCGAAAAGATTAGATGAAAGTATTTGGAGCAATTACTTAAAGTGCTTTCATCAATTAACTATTTTGTGCATTACCATGGCTTAGAGAAATGGTTCCCTCATGCAGTGTTACTTTAAATCTGCAGGGTGAAGCGGGTGTTCCGGGGCCACAGGGCCCCCCTGGTCCGGAGGTAAGTACACTTTACATGACTATTAATTTTATATTTTCTCAAACACCTTATTTCATTTCTGATCCACGGCATCTTTGGAGCTACTGGAGTGGAAACTTGGTCAAAAATGAAGATAATATCTCGTTAGAAAGAAATCACTTTTGTCACTACATCACAGTTTTTTCAAAACAATAAACCTTTCATCTTTCTTAGCCTCGGTCGTCATAAGAAGTGTTAGCCACATTTTTAAAGTTTGTTAAATAAACAACATTTATTATATATTAACAACGCTTCTAAAATCATTTGCCTTGTTTTATTTGAATGGCTTTGGTCCCAACAACATCTAAATATATTGCAACATGTTGCAAAGAGTCCATTAGACTTTTATATTTACAAAAGAAGACAGGACCCTTTCTATTTAAAAATTAGACTATTTCTGATAAATAATGCAATTTGCTTACAATTTGTCCAAGTATCAGACAATAATGAAAGGCTTTCTGTTTTACTGATGGTTTGTGAATTACAGAGGCATCAAACAGGAGTAACAACCTTTTCCCCATTTCAGTGATATCTTTGTGGGAGACTGCTGATAATATATTAGAATATTGACTTTGATATCACATTGTCAGCTTTGGCTTGGTTAAAGGATATCTACTGCCAAAATCTTTTTATCTAGCTTTAGATAGAAAGGAAAAAGGATAAAACCTCTCTCTGGTTATTATTTTTTGTATGTCTCCCATTAAGGATATTTCCTCCTCCCCTTCATCCCCAGAAAATATCAGGAAGTGAGCTGAAATTTCTCTAATATGAGGACAAATCCCATCTTTGACAGTTGTGACTGAATGTCCTCTCTGTAAGATTTCTTCACACGTCCTGTTTCAATGACACCTGTAAAATTTAGTTGAAAGATGCTTTTACTTTGTTATAATATTGCATTTCTACTTCTGTAGTCCTTATGAAAGGGGTGTAGATTGCTGAAAAGCATTCCTTGAAAAATTCCACCACTAGCTTATACCTGAGGTTTTGCCATGTGGTGATTGTTCAAGTTTTTGCCCTCAACCAGTTGAGTGACAATTGTCACCAGTTCAGGAATTTAGACCAAATTTCTCAATGGTGACATAAAACCTGATGTTCTAACCCTTTACCACTCTATACAAAACTAGAAAAAAGATTCAGTTTAGTTACACATTACATTTTGCTTTTCAAGTTGTTGTGTGCAGCTTCTACTGAGTCTAGTGACATTCTCAAAATAATATGCAACTTTATTCAGTGGTGACTGCACGCTGACAATAAGAGAAAAGCTTAATGCAAGCAATAAGTTCAGTAAATGCCTGAAAACACCCTGGAACGCACTGAAAGCCCATTTTAGGCTACAAAAAAACCCCATAAAACAGACCGGAACGTGTCAAAAACGCAGCAAAAACTTGTTAAAACGCACTGCATATGCAGAAACTCATGCAGATCTGGTCTGGATTTGTTGTGAACAAGCCCTAAAGGTACCCACAAGTGGTCTCTCTGGAGTCTCTCTCAGCTGCCCTGATTCAGAAAATTATTGCACTGATCGTCTTCCTTCCAGACTATGGTACAGACCATCTTCCCCTTTTAAATCACATCCACACTTCAAGCTGGCACATTCTTTCTTCATTCTGTGCTATCCCACAGAGATACATTGTAGCAGCCATGCTGGGGAGATCCAAAGTCCATTCAGCTACATTGCAGGCAAGTTGTTAAGAACAGAGTGTCCACTAGTAGCAGGAAACAGTCTGTGTAAAATAGTAAACAATTGGTGCCACATAACAAATGAAAATGTCAGTAAAATAGTTCTGCAATACATGTACTGTACACAACAGGAAACATAGCATATTTTCTCAAAGTGGTTATATATATTTATAAAACTTTTGATCTACCAAACAAAGAGCATTTCCATTTAAATCTATTTGGAAAACGCACTGATCAGTGTGAAAAAAAGTAGCTCAGGGAGCATTTTGGGCGGCAGGCGGTTCAGATCGTGCAGAGCCACGCGCTTGCATTAACGGTTACCATTGGAATGTATGGGATTGTTCATGTTGGCGGTTCATGGCGGACACATCTGCACGACCGAACTGCCCTGGTGTGAACAGGGCCTAAAGCAGAATGCTGATTGAACGCTTTGGGTTCTCACTCTGTCCATTGTGAACAGTTACTCTTTCTTACCTTTGTCTCTCCTCTACACCCAGGGGGAACAGGGCGAGCCAGGATTTCCAGGAGCCCAAGGGGTGAATGGGTCCCAGGTAAGACCTCCGCTGAAGGAGAATGGTAATGTGTAGACAGCTAGAAGTTCCACTCATATATGGAGATATTATTGGGCTTATTGAAAAAGGCAAAACAGTGTGTGCAAAATATGGTTATTCATCCCAGTCAGGTTCTAATCTCCATTCTCTAACCTGCCCAGAGCAAAATAAAATATAATTCATACACCTAGAGTCTGAACACCTACTGTAATCTAATGAGACGTTACATGCTAGATTTTTAGTTTATATTATGGAGCCAGAAAAAGGTGGGCGATAACATTCAAAACTCTGAGGTGGGATGACAAGAACTATGGCAGGAAGATCTCATCACTGGATTTCCCAGTCATATAAATAGCCAGAAAAGACAGGATTTAAAAAAGAATTGATACAGTGGTGTTTCTGAAACGTTTAAATCTTCATGGCTGTATGTACAGATTATAGGGGTTATAAAGAAGGGTTATAAAGGAGAGGTTATAAAGAAAAATTATGTGGTACCTGTTTTGGTTGCCTTCTTTAGGTTTATATCTTTCAGTTACATTAATTAGCTTTATTTCACCAATGTATATTTATTTTTCAGCAGTAACTAAACTTTCCCTTTGCCTGTTTGTAGGGGGATCAAGGCCCAACTGGCGTGATTGGCCATCGTGGCCCACGGGTATGTAATTGACTCTCTTTTTTGGATTAATTTTGGGTTGTTTTTTTTCTTGTCTTTTTCTCTAAGACTGGGCTAAATGTCATGACTGAGTGATAACTACCCAAAGCAACACTAATTAAGACTTTCAATATTTTTGCATAGGGTCCACCAGGAATAGAAGGAATTTGTGGCCCTCCCGGGCCTAGAGGACCTCAGGTAATTGTGTCCTACCAACATGGCTACTCACAGTCAGACACTCTGCTGATTCCTAAAAAATATCTTCAGTTTATATTCTGCTCATGCTAGTCTTCTTGAGGCCCATGTTACCTGACAACTAAACTATGGTGCCAGCAAGAATGTAGCTTCTATTAGGGAAAGGGGAAGCTGTACCTCTGTGAGTCTACCGCTGGTGAGGTTTCACCAACAGCAAAATCGCCCGGGTGACTTAGGCCTTACACCAAGCAGAGAAGTCATTGTCTTGCTCTTCTTCACTTGTTAGTTGTTCTGTAGTTTAATGCAGGTTTATTAAATAATGTTTCTTCTCTTCTGCTGTGATTGGTTGTAGGGCATGATGGGAGCTGATGGCCCTCCTGGTTCAAAAGGAGACACGGTACGTAAAGTAAAATTCCACCTTCTAGATGCTTTTGAATCCTTCACAGATTTTTTTAGCTATAAATCTTATTTAGAGTTAACATCAGACTTTTATCATGTGAATTCCTAATATGACTGTATTGGTGGGACTCAATGACAAGAGAGGGTTCCCTGCATGTGCTGCAGTGGCGGAACTACCGCCGGTGCAGACGGTGTGGGCGCACCAGGGCCTCAGGCTCTGGGGGGGCCCAGCAAGTTGCCAGCCGCCGAATCGTTATCCGGCGCGCGGTGGGCCCCTGGTCTCTCCGCCGGGAGTGTCGGATCATCCGTTCATCCGACACTCCCTGCCAGTGTTGTAGCGAGGGGGGGCCGGGGGGGACCGCTGACCTGCGGCATCAGACGCGGCTCTGTATTCGGCCGCTCCTCTAGTGGTTCCTCTGCAGGCCCCTGCGGTCTGTCCTCTACAATGCCTGTTTAGAAGGCTGCGTCTGCCTGATCCAGCTAGTATGCGATTCGGGCTGGCTGGATCAGGCAGAAGCGGCCCTCTAAACAGGCACTGTAGAGGACAGACCGCAGGGGCCTGCAGAGGACCCACTAGAGGTCACCTGATTACAGAGCCGCGTCTGATGCGTGCGGGCGGGCTGAGATGGCAGATGGAGAGGGACAGAAAAAAAGAGTACAGGAGGGGGACCCGGGTGCAGATGGCAGAGGTATGGAGCAGCTGCGGCCACAACAGACCCCCACAACCAGGAAGCCCCCACGGACCGCCAGGCTAAGGTAAGGTGACATTTTTAACATATCAAAACATCCCCATGATCCGATCCACCGACAAGCACAGTGTTCCTCCTCTCACGCTGCCAGAATATGCATACAGAGCGTGTCGGTTACTATTTAAACTGGCGCAATGTATGCAGCTTCTGAGAAGATACGCTATTAGCGTAGCGGGAGCTATGCAAAATGCTCAGCCACCTTCCCCGCTATGCTAATAGCGTATCTTCTCAGAAGCTGCACACAGCGCGCGCCGGTTTAAATAGTTGCCGACACGCTCTGTATGCATAGTCTGACAGCGTGAGAGACGGGAGTCTGCGCTATTTGGTCTTTCCAGGGATCAGGTGAGTATTAAAGGGTTATTAAACCCTCCGGCTTTTTTGCATATATATAAGGCTAGCAAGCAGTAGATATATGCAAAACTTTTTTTTTTTTAAACAAAACGCTTTAACAGCGGTTTAAACTTACCCGTCTTCGCCGCGCGGTCCTGTTTGAAAACCCGAAACTGCTCGGGCGGGAGGCGAGGAGAGACGCAAGGGAAGTATATGGACGCATGCACCTGCATGCAGACACTGTGGGACAGGAAGTGCCAGCAATGACAGAGGAGTCAGCGCTGGATCAGACACCCGCCGCACCGCTGGAGGGACAGATAAAAACATCAGGAAAGAAGATCGGATTAAGAGACATCAGTTAAGGTAAGTGCTAACATTAACATTGGGTGGAGGGATAACATTTTCTTACTTTAATGTCACTTTAACCACTTCCAGGCCGCAGTACGTCTATAGACGGTGGCCCGCAGAAGTGGTTAAAACAAGAACACGGCTGCTTCGGCAGCCGTGCTCTTGGTACCGATTTTAACAGCAGGCGATTGCTGTATGACTTACAAGCAATCACCTGCTCAGGACTACAAATCTCAGTAGTACTTTATACAGAAATGCTATTGTTATATAAAGTATTGTTGGGATGTGTAGTCCTCTATAGCCTGTGCCATTCTGCATTGCTGTAAATATTAGGGCTGCACCATATATTGGCCGCCAAAACATATTGGCCGAAAACTGCAATTTTTCTGCTGATACAGCGGTGCATCCATGCTTTCTTTTCTCCCCACTGGGCGCTGCTCTGTGTCCCAGCGGGGAGGAGAGAAAGTGACAGCTGGCCAAGCGCTGCGGAAGGAAAGCGCTGTGTTTGTGGCTTTTTTGGGGGGGCCCAAAAAAAAAATCTTGCACCAGGGCCCTTTGTTCCTTAGGTCCGCCACTGATGTGCTGCTTCTATTCTATAGCTGTTGTATGGTGTACTTTGCAGGTAACAGTCAAGTAAGGGGATTTCAGCAGCTGTTTGTTTCAGTGTTTTAGCATGTGAGAAATGTAATTTTACCAGTAGTACTCAATAATTATATACCTGATTTATCTGCTGTGTGCACTTGGAACCTCTTAGATTGTTATCTAGGACTCAAGGAAAATCACGCATGTTTTTAATGTGACTTGACTGATTTGCTCAATAATACACTACTTTGATCATCACTACAGGGTGAAGCCGGTCCCATAGGTATCCGAGGGGAAAGAGGCCCAGAAGGTCCTATGGTAAGTTGTAAACTCATTTTGAATAAAAGTTTTTTTTTAGTCTCAAACAGTGCAAAATACCTACGCATAGACACTACTCGCTGGTGGTGGAATTCCATTCTTGGATCCCCCCAACCATGAGCTGTTTTATTATCTGCTTTTCAGTACGTTTTCTAGGACAACCATAGACCTCAAAATCCACCAAATATTTTAAGATGTTCCTTCACATAAAACAGGTATAGATCTAGCAATGCTGATTTATTCACCTGTGTGGCATGAAGGAATTTCTGTAAACTTGATCTGTTAGGGATACTTGAAAACTGAAGTTAGGCAAAGCTCTAAGGCAAGCCTACATGGCAAAGTTAGTTTTCATTGGGCTGTTGCACCAAAGAGCAGCTCTAAGAATATAGTTACACAGTTATCTAGGTTGAAAAAATTAAAATTTTCATCCATTTCCACTTCCCACAAAATCCAGCAGTTATGGTTTTAAGAGGATGATAAAAACAAAACATTCAGTCAAGTGAAGTTAGATTGTTTTGCAAGGGAATATTCATTCAGAATCCTTCAGTGTCAGTTGGGCCAATTGGCTGCATCAAGATATTACCATGGTCTCTTAATTTTTACCTTCCTCTTCTGTTCCATTAAACCCAATGTCCCCTTGTGCTACGTACAGATCTTGGGATAAAATATTCACTAGCCAAATTAAATTTTGATCACTAAGGCCCTGTTTTGTAAACTAAACAAGCCCAGTTTTCTAACCTTTTATCTATGGCAGAAAGATTCATCAAGAAATGGCACCATTATAGAAGTAGGAAATTCTGAAGGGGTTGACTACTGCCAATCAACATTAGTAGGGCATAAAAAGTCACACACGTGATCTGTGACCACAAGATGGTGCTGTACTGGTTAGAGAATAATCCTAACCACGGCTGAATGCAATCTTGACTTGCTTGGGCTTTACCAACATCTAGTATCTGCCCACGAAGGAAATAAAAGACAGCCCCCTGTAAAAGTGTATGAAGCCTTCGGTCAGCCCAATCTTGCTCAGGAGCAGCCTGAGATCTGCAACAGAGCATGCAATAGAGGGGAATGTCAAATTAAAACGGCAGGAACATAGCAAACATAAGTATTAAAGCAATAAAACATCTTCAATGTATAGATGGTTTGTATATATTTTCTTTGTTTAATATGCTGAAGACTAAAAAAGTTTGGAAAAAATGTTTTATTTTTTATTTTAGGCAGGTTAACAAAAAATATTTCATATGAATAGATTACATTTTAATTTCCAGCCAGCAAGAGGAGCGTCCAGCTCCATTTCACATGTTGACTTGTCTATTTTTAAAATCAAAAAGTTCTAAGGCATCAGTTAAAACATGCAAACCTAAATAAATAAGTATCCCTTTAATAATTAAAAGATTGTTTTCTATGTATAGTTTGTAGTTATGAAACTTTAAAAACACATAAAATGAAATTGATAAAAAAATTCCATTATAGATTTAATTTGAATTGTAACAGCTGGAATCTCTGTTAGGTTTTCTTTTATTGACTGTGCCCCATTAAGGACATTTCATTTACTGTTCTGATGACTGCACAGGATGGGATGAGAAATCTCTCCAACTGAATACAAACTTATCAGAAGTTGTAACTATACCCCACCAAAATATTGTCACTGTGGTAAGATTGGAGTAGAAATCTCCAATGAAGTAATTGATAGCAATTAAGGCCCATTTGCAAGTGTGAGAAATTTCTCTAGTGACGGTTCTCAGCCACCCGCAATACATATTACGAAGGTTACAATACAATACAAAGGTTTCCATTGTATGATGCAAGCGCCAGATGGAGAGCTCTTGGCACGTTACGCATCTACATGGTAGTTTACATGTAACCATAGCAACGAACGGCTCTAACTCGCATCTAACGGCTGTGATCTCTATTGGCACCTTCGACAGCACGGTATGGCATCTTTCCATTCTTACTGACATTCTTCATATTCTGTGGCCAGATGCTCTGTTTTATTATTAGTTTAACTCATAGAGATTGAACCATTAGGGATAGGCACCACACCCCCAATTAGAAATGTATACAAGAAAGATAAAGAAAAGCGGGGCTTTTAAAGTGTCCAGAACATACGAAATGTCCATCAAACATACATGGTTTTGTATAAAAATATATTTTAATACATAAAGATAATTTGAAGACTTGGTTACATTTAAAATGTAATTGGCATGATACAATTTTACATTAAAATCAAGCTACCTCCTTTTGGTGCCCATACATGTGTAAATATATTTATATATCATAGACTCCTTGCAAGTCCTAAATCCTGTAATAATTGTATAATCCACTGTGGGCCCAATCTCCGACGCGTTTCGCAACTGTATGTGCTTCCTCAGGGAGGTTGGAGGTATTCTAAAACATTGCATCAAAATAAGTTTAAGTATAATGATCACAAATACCAAATTCTTAATGAAAATAACAAATAATAACAATACAAAACCCACTTCATGTTCACAAAGGTGGCTGGTCTGGACACTTTAAAAGCCCCGCTTTTCTTTATCTTTCTTGTATACTCTTTTATTATTAGCTGATGGAATTAACAAGTACTTATTCTTATTTTGTTACTATTTATATGCATTATTTTTTTTATTAAATTGTTTCTGGCGGGATTATGACATCATTACGATGTCAGCGGGGTGGGGGGTGGCTGTTTGTTCACAATTTGTACTGTTGGTATCTCTATATAAGATCTGTAAATGGTTAGCTGCATTGTCATTCCAAGCCTGATAAAGGAGACCCTAAGTGGCCCCAAAATGTTGCAACTATGTTATGACAACATGCGCCAATAAACAGACGTTTGCTTCAGTCTACTATGGTGTTCTGGTGACATCTCTAATAAGTATTTCTCTATGAGACTCATGCAATATGCTGGTGGCTGCTGTCATTGTATTGTATAGTTTTTCCTAGCCCACAGCAGATTGCATGACTCTCACAGAGGAATTCGTGAGACCCTGCGATCCAGCCCTATTCACAGTTGTTAATGGTACCTAAACGATGTTGGAAGTTTTAGCCCCCACCCACCTTACTAATAAAACGTGATTTTATTGCTATTGTGTCTCTCTAGAGGCTTGAGAAATGTCAACTCACTTCCTGTTCCTGTTGTCACTGGAACAGGAAGTGAGCATAACCTTCCAAATTGGGCATATAGAAAGAGCTGTAAATTAAAAAAAAAAAGGCAGTTTGTCTAGAGATACATTTTAAAAATCTCATATACTTGACTGGAAGACTCAGAGATCAGTAATGAAGAGCTATATCTTCGTGCATTGGTATAATATTATAATTCTAGATATTCAAATATATTAAATACATGAAATTGAACAACTTTAAGTTTTGCATAAAAAGTAAAATACATCTCATACATACATTTTCTTCCTGTGTTTCTTCTCTTGCAGGGATTAATTGGATGGCCCGGTGTAAATGGACAGCCAGGAGACAAGGTACCAGTGTTTTATTGCTGTTCTTTGTATTCCATTACACTATCAAATGTGCAAATCATTATGGTAAACATAAAGTTGGACAACAAACATTTACTATGCTATAAAGTAAAACTTCAAAGCACAGTGTTCCCTCTCTGCCTGTCTTCCTCTGTAATGTACATTCTGTGATTACATCGAATGGTGGCCATTGATTATACACATTACACACACTGCTGTATTTTTTATAAAAAGGAAAAAGTAGAGATGGGACCGTCGATAGGCAGGAGGAAATTATTTGCTTTGAAGATTGCTTGAAGTGCTCCATAAAGGGGATTTGCAGATATAGGCTTGAATGTAAGTCATTTTATGAATTCATTCCTACAAAAATAGTTTTGGATTAGATTAGAGGAGGATGATTTAGGCTACATTCACACTAGGTGCGAATGTGTATTTAGGGATTCCTGCAGAAGGAACCTACAAATTCCTGCAGTAAGAATCCCAAAAATGCTGTTTATTGAACGGATGATAGTGCCTGCATTTGAAAGCTGCAGTCCGTCACCACTCCACATGAAATCGTATGCTATAGGATTACATGAGGTTAGGTAATAGATCACTATCCCCGTGATCTATTACTAACCGCATGTAATCATATCACATACGATTACTTGTGGAGTGCTGGTGGACTGCCTCTTTCAAAGGTGGCCTCTGTCACCCAAACATTAACTTGAACAGATAACAGCGGCTGCTTCTAGATGGCATATTTGGGATTCCTGCCACAGGAATTTGTAGGTTCCTGACGCAGGAATCCCTAAACAATAGTGTGAATGAAGCCTTAGAACCTCTGTTGTGTTTTTATTGGGGAAGATTTCACCTCCCTCTCTGATCACTGTAGCTGAGACAGGCAGTGAACGGAAATCTCCCAATTTTAGACACAGTAAAAAAAAAAAAAATTGTAGGCATTCTAGTTGTTCTTCACCCCACTAAAGTGACCTCCAGGACAGTGAATGAGAGAAATCTTCCATGTCAATATGTTTTATTGAATTTTCAAGGTATAAAATACACAAACATGGGAGAAATCTTCCCTATGGGGGAAAATAGTAATAAATACCCAATAAAAATACTAACTTTTCCCAATCATTTTAAAAACTAAAAGAAATAAAACAATACTTTTATATTCCATAAACCATGTTTCGGTGTACAGGTTGGAATGCTATAGGTATATGGGGATAGCCATATTTTTTAATTACATATAGAGGCTCTAGTTCTTTCACAGCACTCCTGACAGTCAGAGCCACATGAGCTTTGTCCATGGGTTCTATCCTCAAAGATTTGCTTTATGGAGAAATGACAGCAGGGTTATCATGAATACTAAACTATATGGAGCAAGAAATAAAACCCACTCAGATCATGGTCTTGTATGCTGATGTTTGCAGGGTCGGACAGCTGCAGATGGAGAAAAGGGAGATCCAGGGGCTAAAGGAGACAAGGTAACATTTCTTATTCAATGCTCTTCTGCCTTCCATTTTGTAAAATAAGGCAACCCAGAGATATACAAAAGTGTGTGGCAGATTTGTAATCCTAGTCATAAAGAGTTTAATAACCTTAGAGACTTTATCTACAAGCAAAATCATACATTGACGATGAGATCCACATTCTATTTTGCCTATGCTTCAAACTACAAGAAATGTGCGATAATTTGATTATCATATCATGGCAATGCAGACATGCAAAAAGATCGCTCATAGGGCAGAAAGTGGCAGCTTTATAATTCCTGGCAGCATCAGCCTGTTGTGAGAAACGACTTATTCAAAAGTCCTTCAGCTTAGTTTTTAGATAAATGAACAATCCACTTAGTATTATATGTTCCGGTTGGCTAGATTAAGAGGCTTATTTAATAAGATCAAACATAGTTGCGCAATCTATATTAACCAATTAGATTCCAGTTTAGCAAACTCAGGTTGGTGAAAATGATTATAATACAGGATTTATATAGCACCAACAGTTTGTGCAGCGTTTGACATTATAAAGGGAGACATTACAGTTACAATACAATTCAAGACACGATGGATAAGAGGGTCTTGCCTATGAGAGCTTACAATCGAATGAATTCTGACTAATTTTGCATCATATGCTTTAGTGAATAAGCCATACCTAAATAGTATCTATGATTTGAATAGTTTAACCCCCTGGTATGAGTTTCTGTTGGGTCTGATTTGTCTCTTATAGGGAGCTCCTGGGCCTCCTGGTACAAAAGGCCCATCTGGCATTCAAGGACAGTCTGGCTTTGTAGGGTTTCCTGGGCCCAAAGGACTTTTAGGCCTTCCTGGAGCTATGGTGAGGTCAATTAATTATCTTGTGCCCTCATTGCTTTCCTTTATCAGGAAGTGAAAGCAAAATTTCATATAGTTTTTTTCACAGATGCTTGTAATGTCTTACTTTAATTTATCATTATGTACAAAATAGTCATTTTGATGTAATGTTTATTTCGCCAGGTTTCTTATGTAGATATTTCTACTGTGCATTGTAATATATATTATTCATAGCATTCATCAAATATGAAAGTACATTTTTATTTACAAAATGTTTCTTTCATGTCTTGTTGACACATTTTTTTTCTGTGTTTTAGGGTGATGAGGGGCAAATTGGGCCCTCTGGTCCCAATGGTGGTGTTGGGCCAAAGGTGAGTCAGATATGAAGCTATGTGTTCACAAAGGGGACCATGAGGAACAAGCACTTATTTTATACATAGACAAGTCACACCTAATTATGTTAAAGTCGCCTGAAGCAACCCATCTAGATTCTGTGAAACAACAGAAATAAAGGGCAGCTGGGAAAATATTTTTAAGAATGAAAGTATTGGAAGCCATTAGGCCTCAATTTTCTTAAATATTAGCACATGCTGGTAAGAATATTTAAAATGAAATGGAACTGCGCCCAGAATGCTTTTTCTTATTTTTGGATGGGGGAAAGAAGTTAGAATCTCTAATAGGCTTTCATTCTCTGTGAAATGTACTTTCACTTCATGCCTTGAAGAGGATGTGAGAGGGAAAGGGTTAAAGGGAATCACATTTGTTATAGTTGTCACTGGGACAGGTAGCCCTATTGGGATATATGCATTTCTTTCTGTTCTGTGTACAATACTTTTGTTTGCTGTTCGATACACCACACTTAGTTTGCGTCCTGGTCTTGCAGGGTTACCGTGGCCCTGATGGGTCGAAGGGATTACCAGGACCTCGAGGGAACCGGGTAACCAAAACATTTTATTTTATTTGGTGCGCAGTGGTGAAAAAAATAAAATGTTTCCCATTTTTATTTCATTTTTTACGCTATTTTATTATTATTTTATTTTATTACATATGATTTAGATATGGATGTTCCTATACACACTTTGCTAACCTTTCACTGTTTTGTTACCTATGTTATGTTGCTATTGCAGGGACGAATGGGACAAAGGGGCCTTGTGGGGATGCCAGGACCACCGGTTAGTGACTTCTATATACTGTATATTTTTTTATTTTGTTTGAAAAGCACCAATATATGACATTTTCCTTTTAAAATAGGATTCTGGTCTAAATGCAAAAAAAAAATGGTAACATTCAGAACCTGGGATGGCTTCTAATATGCAAATAGGATGATTTTTAAAAATCAGCATCCCAAAATAAATGTTTGTCTCCAGTCACCCTGCTCATTGGAAATCATTAGGAGGCATGCTGTGACTGTGCCTGCCACCCGCACTGACAGCTATGACTGAAGAGCAATGGCTACATAATTCTTTCCCATCATGCTGTTAGACTGTTAGTAGTTTTAGTAAAAGCTAAATTTGGTGCAGGTGTTACACTTCAGTGTTACAGATGTTGCCATTGTCAGTGTTACAGATGTTGCCATTGTCAGTGTTACATATGTTGCCATTGTCACTGCTGAGGCTGCAACTTGGCAGTTAGTGACTGCACCTTCTAAATACCTTCTCCAGTCTAGTTTTCGAGTCCTTCTGAATACTCATGCACAGATGTACACTAAGACTGTGTTATGCAACTGATTTATATGCAACTTCTACCTAGCAGAGTTCTTCTTTAAATAGATGATACCATCAACTCTTTGTTTTCATCTCTTCCTGCAGGGTCATCGTGGTGTTCCAGGTCCGGAGGGTGCAGAAGGACTGCCTGGTATACAGGTTCCCACTATGCACTATATATACTCATTATCCAGCATGGCGCTTGCTCTGGATGCACCACAAATCCCAGCTTTGCTTCAGGCTTCATTTTGTGTAGCACCTTGGTGTATGACAAATATTCCACAGTGCTTGCCCAGTAATTTAAACCTAATGTATTTATAAAATTTACATATCCCTTTGTCTGACCCAGTTACCCAAAATCCCTTCCAACGTGTTTAAGATTTTAAGACAGGGCAGTGATCAATGTGAACATCCAAGTTTTAGATTGGCAATGGGTTAAAACCTTTGTTTTGTTTTTGTTTTTTTTCATTACTTTTAACTGTCATCTTTGGTAGGATTATGCTTTCTTCCCAGTGCAGTCACATGACAGTTGGACAGAAAGTGAAGGATAATCTGCCCAAAGGGGGCACCAACACCAATAAAAAAAACATGATAAGCATTCTAACCCCTCCCCACTCTATCCAAAACTAAAAGAAAGAAAGTTTGGGTTGAAGATACACTTTAAAGCAAACTACAGAGAATTTTCCATAATTCTGCATTTTGCTTTACAATTGTAACATTTACTTGAAAGTTATTTTCAAAATGGCTTTCACATTTTTACATTTCAACTAGAAAGCGTACATTCACGCTCACTCTTAAGCTAGCCACACAAGCATAGATGTTATCAATTGTTTTTCATTTGTTTTCGATATTGTGGAAGATCTCCTCGATTTGGCAGTATCTAGTCCATCCCTTAAATGCAATCACATTGAGCACAAAGAAGTCAGAACACATTCAAATTGCCTGTTGCCCACTTCAACTTGACTGGCACAAATATCAGAGAGTAATCTCTCTTGCATGTGTGGCATCTCTGGTGATGTACTATGCGGCAAGCAAACAATTAAAATCTGCTCATGTGCTTAATTGTTAAAAGTGAAAACTTCAGAGAAATCTACCAAAAATGCTTTTGTGGTTAGCTTTGCACTTTTCTTCTAGAAGCATATCAGGTTTGATGATTGTAACAATGTATACTGCACTTACAGAATTAAAATGTATCTAAACCCATACCTTTTTTCAGGCTTACATTTCTTATTATTGTTTACCTTGTGATCCTGCCCTAACTAGCGTGACAATGCTCCCTAAACTGTATTGTATTTATGGAGGAGGAGCATTGTTACCCTAGAGCAGAAAGCATGTTATGCCTATAGAGCAACCTCCCTCTCATCACATAAAATAGAAGGAGGAGTTCCATAGTTCACAGATGTAAACTAGTCAGGGCTGTTAAGACTGTTTCAGAGGCACTGTGTTGTCAGCTCACTACAGGAAGTCAGGAGCTCACAAAATGTCTAGCAACATCAGCAGGTATCTTTTTGCACTTATGGAACTGAAAGCAAATAAGACAAGTACATTGTTAGGTTTACATACACTTTAAATGATTAGGTTTATGTAATATTTTGCTGTATATGACATGTCACACTTTATGTGATATTTTCTGATCTCATTTTCTATCCACAGGGATCATCTGGTGCATCGGGTATTCCTGGCCCCAGGGGAATGGCTGTGAGTATTGTGATCCTATATATATCAATCACTGTGAGGACAATAAACAGGATCAGTCCAAACAAGGAGCAATGTCACCAGTAGTAAGGCTGGTCCAGTTCTTTGACTGTTTATTCAAATGTTTTCAGATATCTGCTCAGGGCATTGTGTGTCTACAGCGATGCTGGGGGTATAGGTTTCCTTAATACAAGCAATAAGGCTGATTATGTGATTATAATAAAGGCAGAAGCTTTCACTTAGTACTGATTTCCAAATCATTGGGCAAGACCTTTTTAAATTGTGGTTCAAAAATCTGTTTTTAGATAGATAGATAGATAGATAGATAGATAGATAGATAGATAGATAGATAGATAGACAGTATCTCACAGAAGTGAGTACACCCCTCACATTTTTGTAAATTAGGGATGCACCGATATATCGGCCGCTGAAACATATCGGCCGAAAATGGCACTTTTGGCATAATGCCGAAAGAGAGCGCTGTGAACGGCCGGCGTCTCTCCTCCCACACCGCTAGTAAATATTTTAATATATCATTTCATGTGACGACACAGAGCGATAACACCAAATTTAACACACCTGCTCCCCATTCACACCTGAGACCTTGTAACACTAATGAGTCACATGACACCGGGAGGGTAAAATTACTAATTGGGCCCAATTTGGACTTAGGGGTATACTCACTTTTGTTGCCAGCGGTTTAGACATTAACGGCTGTGTGTTGAGTCATTTTGAGGGGACAGCAAATGTACACTGATATACAAGCTGTACACTCACTACTTTACATTGTAGCAAAGTGTAATTTCTTCTGTGTCATCACATGAAATGATATAATAAAATATTTACAAACATGTGAGTGGTGTGCTCACTTCTGTGAGATGCTGTATATATTTATATATAGAGTATATATCGCAAATATATATTCCCAGAACACTACTGGTTACCTTTAAAGTCAGTAGAGCAGTAAATTGACTCCAAACTCAGGAGTTAAATATTACAAACACATTCAAGTACGGTAACTATTAACAAAAATTTGGCTTATTTGTGTATCACTCAGCTGTAGATCCTCAAATCATCTCTGAATTGTTGTCCTTCCTTCTGGAGGGTGGCTAATTTTGTTCCTCATGGTCCCTGTGTGTGTTGTAAGTTAGCCACCGCTCGAAGCTCACTCCCGTGATGGACTACAATCTCATGTTTAGTTTACTAATTTGTATTGAGATTGTAGTCCATCACAGGAGTGACCCCCCACTATTTCATTTTGAATCACTGTTATATTTAGTGTCTGGTTTTCTTGGTTTTACCCTGCTTGTAGGGTCCTGCAGGCCCTCGCGGTGAGATTGGCAGAGATGGACCCCCTGGACCACCTGTAAGTACAAGTACTATAGGATTTAAAATTGCATTTTGGGGAAATGTCCAATCAGCCCACTGTTGTATTTGCTGTTGCACCAAAAACAAATGTAAATAAAATATTTGCAGGCAATAAACCACCCCTTAACACTTGACATGAACATACCAAATAGCCCTGCATTGGCCTGCATCCTAGTTATCAATATCATTATAAGAATTAAATCAAAGTTAAATAAATCTAATTAAATAGTTTGGATCAGTTTTCCTTAAATTCCTTTTAGAGTTTATAGGTAAATTGATGTTTTATATCTGTTGTTTTTTTCTATATGTATCCAGTTGTTTTTAGAATTAAACATTAATTCGCAAAGCAGCATGGGTTACCTAAAGAGACAACACAGCAGGTGCTGCCTGCTTTCAGCCTATGTTTGTCTGACTAAAACTTGACACGCAAACGTCTGATAAGCAAAGAGTCGCAGTGTGTATATTTCACCTTGCTCTAATGACAACATGCATGTGGTAGGGAGAGATAGCAATTACAGTAGCTAAAAGTGACACTTGCAGGCTGTATTAAAGACTATACTTCATATTAACCTTACTATATTTTATTCTCGTAATGTTGAATACCTGGTCCCCCGCTGTACTTTGTGATTCCTTCCATTGGCCCTATGTCACTACTGTGTGCTTTAGTGATGTAGGCACTGGTGGAAGGAACTGTAGAGCACAGAAAGGAATGGCAGCATCCTACATTCCTGAACTCCTGGAAGTGTTGGATGCAAAATATGGTGCAGGACAAATCTGTATAAATTGCTTGTTTTGCAGGGTATGTTACTCTTTTTTTTTTGTTTGAGTGTTAACAGAGCTATAGCAAGACAGTATGTAGTACTGACTACTTCAAATATTTTATTAATCGAAATAAGCCATCATTAATTAACTTTTTTTAATTTACTTCAAATATTTTATTAATCGAAATAAGCCATCATTAATTAACTTTTTTTAATTTACTTCAAATATTTTATTAATCGAAATAAGCCATCATTAATTAACTTTTTTTTAATTTAAAATAAAAAAATGTCATTGAGTGTTAACAGAGCTATAGCAAGACAGTATGTAGTACTGACTACTTCAAATATTTTATTAATCGAAATAAGCCATCATTAATTAACTTTTTTTAATTTACTTCAAATATTTTATTAATCGAAATAAGCCATCATTAATTAACTTTTTTTTAATTTAAAATAAAAAAATGTCTACTCTTATGCCCATAGTCCTAATTTTGGTACAGTTGTTTCTTGAAAGTCAGTGACCACTCTGTCAAAGTAGGATTGTTGTGAGGCATGAGTACCTATAGTAATTTCTTCCCCAGCATTAGGCAATTTAATTTTGATGACTTTTGACAATTCAGAAATTAGCGTGTGTCAGCCCACTCCATGCACTGAGCTCTGATTGTTTTTTTATAAATTATAATACTTCATAGTGCTGTGCACTCTTTCACCTAAAAAGGAAATAAAGTATGCCTTTTCCATTCTATTTTATTTTAGGGTCCTACAGGTCGATCAGGAATGGATGGGGAACCAGGTCCTCTGGGAGACAAGGTAAGGAAGCTTAAAGTGGCACTTTCTTTGATACTTGAAATTTGGGCATATGGATGTGCAGCTATAAAGCTTCAAACATGTGTAACTTGCATACAAAAAAACTCTACTTAAAAAGATGGATCTTGTTCCTGTTAGAGGCTTATTGACTGAAAGCTGCTTCTTTCTAATATTTTTAGTTAACCCCTAAAATGTATCATTGTGACAATACTTTTTGCCTTCTCTACCTGTACATTTAATCCTGGCTAAAACACACTACATCAATTGTTTAACTGTAAGCTGGATACAATTAAGGAGACTGATGTTTACTTAACTGTGTATTATAGTAAGTTATAGATTAAGTAGTTTCTCTATCAATCTAGTCCAGTTAGGGAGTCTCATAACTGCCACCATATAATGCATGCAATCCCTGAGTCAAATTCATCTCGTTGTGAGTCCAATAATGAGGCTACTGGCAAAAGTACAAGCTCTCTTTTATATTTCTTCAAATTAAAACAGACAGCAGTGTGCAAATATCATAGGTGCAAACAGTAGTAATTGCCACCTCACGTCAACTAATACAAATGAGCCATTGTTCTTTCATTTTAGAGGTCAAGATAGCATCCTCAACTTGTACTCAGGATGACATCTCCTGGCCTATGGCTAGAAAGGTTTCTAATTGTTGATGAGCTACAACTGTTCTCCAGATGCAAGTGTCTTACATCTAGAGAACTAGGATGTGGCCTGGGACCAACTTCATGTCCTTCTACAGGATTAAAAGTTGATTCTGATTATTGGACATTATTTTTCCTACCAGCGTTGCATTAAAATTACCAAAACATGCAAATGCTAACAGAAATTCACATTTGCATATTATGGCTAATAGAATCATCACAGTCCTCTATGGGATGCTTCCTTCTTGAAGCAGGGGACCCGTTTATTGTGTATCTAAAGCCAAAAGGTTTTTGTTTTGTTTTTGAATAGAGAAGGGAATTATTAAATTACAGTAGTTTTTTATTTCTGTGTGTTCCAGATATATTTTTTTCTATTTTTAGCCATATCTAAAATGAAGGTTAACAGTGTATCGAGAAGGATAAATAAAAAGTAATAGAAAAAATGGTTTTAGGTGCTGGACACATGTCTGAAGACCTATGCACAGGGTTTTATGATTGCTCTTATAGTTGCATTGCAAGAGCTTAGATTGATATTCCCCTTCATCAGAGATCATGTAACCAGGTGGGCATGAACCCAGCACTGAATGAAGCCTGAAGCAGCTTTTTCTCCAGGAGAAGATAGTTGTTCATCGATTCTTTTACGCTCTAGTCATCCATTCCAGGTCCCAACTATAATATTAACATGGGATCGTGTTGATTTTTTATTTGATTGGTTAGCATTGCATTGAACAAAACACATTATGTCTCTGTCTTGCAGGGGTTTACTGGAAAACAAGGTCCTGAAGGACAGCAGGGGCATGTAGGAATGTATGTAAGTATGTTAGATGGATCTTTTAATGGTACACATTTGGTGGAATAAAGTTTCTGAATCATAGTCTACCTAAGAAGCAGATTATTGTTTTCATTTAGAGCCCTGCCGAAAGAACTAATTACAATGATGCCTCAATGATTTTCCAATTTCTGGTAGCAAGATGGCTACCTCAGCCACACAAGAGTGACAGGTTCTCTTTAAATCCATGTTTGTTAATGCTTTAAAGTACAACTCTACCCAAAATATTTTATTTTGTGTTGGATAGTGTGGGAAAGTCAGAGTGTGACTTTACCACCCGAGTCAGGTTTTAAATGTGGTCTGTGTTTGTAAATAAAAACAAAAACTCTTTTTTGGTACAGTGAGAGTTAGAACTTCTGCCATTGTTTTTATCCCTCTCTGTCTTCTTGTGTTGGTGACAAACAGACTCCCCCATTTCTTGTGCAGGTCTCTCGGAAAAAGGAAGTGGTCAGTGTCTGCAATGGTATCACAGACACCTGACAGAAATTTTAACTCTTCCCAGTTTTATCCGAAAAATAAAAAAAACAAAATTGTCCTGAGTATATCCATCCATTCACGCTAATCAGAGTGGATGGGGGAATCCTCACTGCTTGCTATTGTATACAGAAACCACTGCTCTAATGGCTGCTGAGTACTCACGAAGCACCTATATCTGATGCAGTTGTTGTTAAGCTGAGGATTTTCTGACCGGCTCCTTCTACAAAAGTTGATTTAAAATCAGGTTTTGTTTGGGGGAAGATGTGCCGACATGGATTGAATTGAATCAGCCAAAATTCAAGCAGTGTACGGCCAACTTAATGCTGACAATCGTACGTTTTATTATTTGTTAATACTCTACTTCTGGTATAAACCTGCTTCTTCCCATTTCATACTAAACTGTCACATTTTCTAAATACATAAAAACAGAAGGACTTAACTGTGGAACTTGTGTGGCCTTTGGCTTTGGAGTAAGAGTATAAAACATTATTATCCTTTCTTAGGGCTTGCCAGGTCCATCTGGTGAAAGAGGCCGGACCGGACATCCTGGGGAGAAGGTACAGTATGCAAGAATTTCTCTTCTATTTCAGTTATTTAAAACAATAAAAATGTTATACTCATCGTAAAATCCTTTTCCTGGAATCCATTGGAGGAAACAGCTTGATGGTAATGAAGCAATGTAAAGTTGTAGCAAGCAGTCAAATGAAGGAAAGATAACATTAGCAATGGACCCCAAGAAGACAAAAATCTTCTTGGGGTCCATAGTACCAACAGGATGTTAAAGAAGAACAGACAGGGCAGACACATTTCTCTTAAAAAAGGAGCTAGCCAATTCCCCAGGAGTACTTATGGACCTGATTTGTGTACTAGGGGTTAACTTAGCAAGAACGCACTATGACCACTTGTCCTATTTAAGGGGGTGACAAGGAGGAAATGCAAAATGGAGACTTGCAGCTCAGAGACTTTCCTCCAAATCTGACAAAAAAGGACGGAGCAGTTGTTGTGTGCCTGTATGAACACAAAAAATATGTTCTATGCTATTGGGTGCCAGCTGCAGAAGAGGTGGCGGAAAGTTCAAACTCACATCTATTTATAAGGCACTTATGCCCCAGCAGTGCATCAAAATCAGGCAGTACATCCATATGAAGAAGCAAAGGAGTAATCCTTAGCCAGCAATAACCGCACATACAAAATTGAATTTTCAGAGAACACCAGTATACAAACTGGGTAAATCTACAATCGTTGGCTAACTGGAGAGACTTCCAGGATTTAACCTATTGAGCTTTTTCCAGCCAGTAACTGTTGAGAGTACAGTTTCTTCCAATTCAAGTGAAAAATATAGCAAAGAGAAAGGAGACATCCATTCTACTGGGAGAATTAAGCACAACTGAGTACGTGTGAGGTGGGAGGGGTTATAGCCTTAGAGGGGCAGGCCTTCAGTTTTTTTCAGACGGCAGTATAATCCTTTGCTGCTCAATTACCATCAAGCTGTGTCCCTCAATGGACAACAAGGAAATAATTAAACTAAACAAAAAAAAAATGTTTTTAAACTATTTTTATTTATAATCAGGCAAGTATGAAATACTGCATATTTGTATTCCTATTTACAGGTTTAAAGCACCAAGTAGGTACAATAGCTTTCTGCAGGTTGATTTAGAGCTGGTGCTAGAATAGACCCAAATAGCAGGGAGATCACTTTACAAAGATGGCTTTTAAGCTCACTCTCTTTAGGCAAGAGACCTGACTGTCTTTGCAATATATAGTTGTTATATTGACAAGTAAAACAACAGTATAAAACAGTTAAGAAACATAAAAACTGTAAAAAAAACATTCAATTCTTATACATTATTGTGAATGTATGAAAATGTTTCTGTATTTGACTTTCTTTTTACTATAACAGGGAGAGATGGGAACACCTGGAATTCCAGGGCCACCAGGCAAAGCTGGTCCAAAGGTATATGTTCACTTTACACTGTAAACCCACAGATCGGAAATGGGACAAGTTAAATAGGAATAAATCATTGAAGAATCCACTAAAAAGTAATATATTATATATAGAAGAGGCCTGATAGTGACATTAAGGCAATCATATATGTCTCAGGTACTCCAAGAGTAAGATCACACTGAAATATTTCCCAAGTGTTGTTGTCCTTCTGGTAGTTGTGGGTGTTCTCGCCCACCGCTGTGTGTCTCAGCTTGACCTGTTACATTCTCCATAATATAAATACAGAAAAATCCATCAGGGAATTAAGTGAATCTATTGCATTGTACACACCTTCTTCTACTAAATGCATTGGAATTTCCTTGTAGCTTTCTTCCCTTTTATGTAGACATTTCTCTGCCTGACTGAGCTGCTTACAGGACAGCAATATCCTCTGGCAGCTTTGTGTCAAATCCCAGGACAATATGGAGGTATTATAGATAATATAGATAGACAATACAACATGACTTCCGGGGGATAGAGAGACATGGCTGTAAAGCATAGATTGGTGCTAGATATAAAGTTACATATTCAGGATAAATTGCAGCATGTATTGCAGCAGACAAATTAAAAAAGGACACCTAATTTGCTAAGTTAAAAAATGCACATAAATCAAATTCTGTGTAGAGATGTGATTTTTGTAAATTGATTTTGCTGTGAAATTATAGCGGATGTAAAACTTTTTCTAAAAATAAAAAGGAGCTTTGAACCATAATGTGCTAGTATGTACAGCATATTAACGCATTGTGGCAGACTTACCTGCCAAACCTATTCCCTCCAGCATTGCCCTCCTCCCTCAACTTCAGCTTGGTCCTCTTCTGGGTATCGAGTCTTCAGCTGCTTGATTGGTCTTGGCGCCGATGATGAAACTCTCATGCACATGCGCACAGGAGTTACTTCATCTCGATGTGTCGGGCCTGTGCACTGAGCTGAGCATACACAAAGAAAAAACTGCAGAATGCCATCAAGAAGCTTTTTGACAGAAGAAACAGTCTCCTCTCTATTAAAAGCCTGCCGATCAATTTAGTTTACTTCTGCTTTAATCATTTTGCCATCTGCACATTTTTGCTCATTGAGCAGCTAAGGTGGGGTGTGTAGTTTTTATTTTGGGTGGGGAGTGTATTTAGTGTAGTTTAGTACATTTTCATCTAGTCTTCCTTGTCTTTGTTCTTTATTCCTTTTTTGTGTATTTACATACTGTCTTTTTACATTTTTTATTTTACTTTTGTGTCCAATGCTTGTTATTTTTCTTTCTGTGAAAAAAAATCGTAAAATAATGAAGCTAATGAATAATGAAACGAAGGGAAAGGAAAAGGTACAGGATATTTAAAAGAAGCTACTGTAATGCTCAGAAGCCATTTAAATCTTAGTGCATCCTGAAAAACTACCTTTGTTTCGCCTTCCCCATTGAGTCTAAGACTTTTGTTACAAAAATTTTACTGGAATATCTAGGAAATATTTTTTTTTATTTTTATATATACATAACGTATTATTTATTACAGGTATTTATATAGCACCATCAATTTACACAGCGCAATACAAATTGTACATTTGTACAATGTCCCTAATCTTCACACATACAGGGCCAATTTAGACAAAAGCCAATTAACCTAACAGAATGTCTGGGATGTGGGAGGAAACCAGAGTACCAAGAGAAAACCCATGCAAACGTAATGCAGGAAGTGTTCTGGTCAGAATTTGAAGGACCTCAGTGTTGTAAGATGGAAGTGCTAACCACTAAGCCACTGTGCTAACCACTAAGTCTGTACATTACTAGCCTAAAAAAAAACATTCTAGCATTACCAGCAAACGATGGTTCATTTATTGAACTTACCATCCAGATTGGTTCAGTTTTACTGTAAGGGGCCATTCACAATTGTGTATTGTAGTGACACACAATACTGTGTGTTTTTCTGCCATTTATTTTGAAATTTAAGTTCAATTCACCTTGGCAGCATAGCACACCACACTTGCTTTGTAGGGCATCATGTGAACCATCTGTGCATTGTAGAGGCTGCATTAAAAAAAAAAAAATAGTGAATAATGGGAATGTTGGAATGTTTAAGTTTGATATTTCTGGTACAATTGTTGGGGTTACTATAAGTAGCCTCATACTGTGTAAATTTTATGCTGCTGAAAAAAAAAAGGCCGAGCCCCTCAGGGGTATGGCTAAGAAAACAGAATAAAGTTTGTTTTAAATTTAAAAAAAAAAATAGTGCAAATCACATTGACAGTCAATTCAAACTAAATTGGCTGCCTTGACGTAACCCAGGTTAACACGCAGCTATCACGCATTACCACATTGCACTAAGTGTGAATGTGCTCCTACATTGGTACAGGTGTTTTACTTACTATAAATGTAACCATAGCCAATTCTCTATGTTTTATTTGTGATTCTTTGTCTAAATAATGTTTGTTTCTCATATAGGGGCCTCCAGGTCCTCCTGGGGAGAGGGGACCCTCTGGGCCACAGGTATTGATCTTCTTCATCTTTCAGATGGCTCTGTTGAACATTACACACTGAGTGGCCAGATTATTATGACCACCTGACGTTAGTAGGCAAATTAGCTGACGCTCGGAGCCATGGAGCGAGTATCAGCAAAACAGCAGAATTCGTTAAATGTTCAAGAGCAGCTGTTGTTAACGTTTTCAAAGACTGGACTGTCAGCCGAACATCTGGGTCTGAACGTGCGAATTGTGGCCGTCAGTAACTAGGCAATGTTAGGGCAGAACGGAGAGTGGCAAGACAGGTACAAGACAACAGAAGGGCAACAGTGCAGTGTCAGATTCCTCGCATCACCTTTCAACATCTCGTGGAGTCATCTCATGGCCCAACGAATTACTGATGGGGTGGTCATAATAACCTGGCCACTCAGTGTATATGTTAGCAATTAACTGATGAACTATAGGGATGGTATTGGAAGGGTTCAAGAGAGCAAATGCCCTCCATTTCTTAACTGTCCCTCTTTTAAGAGTTTTTCCATTGGGAATTGCTTTACTTTGCAAAAATGTTCTATATCATAAGGCTAAACTTTGAAGGCAGCACAGTTAGTTACAACTTTGAGTTATGTGGCCAAGGGTTGCTTAAACTGCAGACCTGCAGCATGGCATAATACATCCCCCAGTGCTGCACATAATCAGAATTCAGACTATTCTACTGGAGTCTGCAATCCATTTTAAGTCCAAAGCCACCAATAGACCCTTCAGTCCACCAATCAAAAACCAGCAGAGAAAGAGGGGAATGCTACATGCTAAGAAGTCTTATGACTCCTCTTGGCAGCTCCTGAATTTCCGCCTCCCTAAAGTTTTGTAGGTGATTTCAGTTCTGAGTATCTAACCATGGACAGTCAAGGCAAAAAAAAAAGAAACTGGAAGAAGTTTGATGGATGCAACTGGTAATTACACCCATTGTTTTCTGAATCTCCAGGGTCGTATGGGTGAGATGGGTGACAAAGGCTTGCCTGGATTATTGGTAAGTGGGTCAATTGGTTGGCATTTCCTAGGGTGTGCTTGACCACTACAGAAAAATAGAAAGTGCATTTAACAAATTTTCTTCCATTCATTTTAAAAGTTAATATTGAAGTTATAGCAGTCATATCTGTCTTCTTTAGGGCCCACCTGGGAATCCAGGGAGTGATGGGGAACCGGGAAAAATTGGGGCCACAGGAGAACCAGGTCCACCAGGAGCCCAAGGAGAAATCGGTCCTTTAGGTTATCCAGTAAGTTTCATTTCATTTAATAATTCAGTTAATATGACAGGTTTGATTTGACTGTATAAATATGTGGTCAATGTTTCTCTTTTAGGGTCGAGAAGGGCCAGCAGGACCAGAAGGATCTCCTGGAGGGAAAGGTGAGAAGGTGAGTACATCCTGAAAAAAATGCAAATCTTTGAGTCATATTTACCTTTTTCTATAATAAAAGACGTGCTAGTACCAGCCAATTATCTTCCAAATGGCATTTGTTCAGTGTAGCTTGGTAAATGGATGGTTAAACTAGTTCTGATTTCATATACTGCCTTATTGTCTGTTTTTTTTTTTGCTAGCATAGTTACACCCAAAAGCAGAAATGTAAAATATTGCATCTTACCAGTCCTCAGATGTGGTGGCTGCATTAGTTTTTATTTTTCAAGCCTTTTCTTCACCTGGTGAATAGCCATTGGTTATTTTAAAATTCTATACATCCCTCATTTTGATTCACCAAATGCTTATTATTTGGCCTTGACAAGTGATCATTATGCGTGGCAAAACTTTAATGTGATTATCTCAAACAGAAAAGCAAGAAGGCAATGAAGTTATAATGCACTCAGGTGTATATATTGGGCAATCAATTAACTGGGGAAAAAACATCCTTTTTATTAGTCCATTACAAAAAATATAACATTGAATAAGTAAACAAAATATTGTACTATTGGGGTGCCATCGTGTTTACTTAATTTAGAATTTTTTGTAGGGCTGTGGAATTTAAAGATTAATTTCTTGATTAATCGTTAAACTTTTTGATCGATTAAAATTATTGGACAATGTTGGACAATCATGTGTTCTATTGCTATGGTGGATCCTTTCGCCACACATGAAATAAATGTGTTTGTTAGGATTTCAGCTTCATCACAACAAAACAGTGTTATTTAACCTCACCCCTTTGCAGGGTGCCATTGGGCCGGTCGGTGATCAAGGGGTCAGCGGGCTGGACGGGGAACAGGTAATCTCTGCCATTTGTGATCATTGTGTGAATATCATAAAGATAGTCTTTGTTGCAAATCGTAGACATGATGGGACACTCAATTTCTATTTGTCTGTTATTTTCCAGGGTGAACCAGGCTCAATTGGCAATGATGGTCCCTCTGCAAAGAAAGGAGAGCGGGTTGGTATACAGGAGCCATATTTAGAATAACACAAATAGGATTTTACTGGGCTTGTGTCCTATCTGTATTTTTATATTAAAAACACTGTTCAAGATATATGTGAATCCTGCCCAAATACAATCTAAAATTATGCTGAAGAACTCTAATCAATTTCTAGTGGCCATATGAAGTATTGCAGTGTTACACTATGTTTCATTTCACTAAATCCCCCAGAATGTTCTAGGTTATAAAATTACATTGACAGTCTGCTGAAATCACTAGATATAACTTATTTACCTATGCTGCTGTACATGAAGTAGGAGAGCAGAAAACTGTGTTTGACTCTATCCATTGAACTACATTGATGGAAAGCATAGAATGCATGATCAGAGCAGGGAATGCTTATTTTGGATATAGAGACCTGTCTTTGGGTTAGAAAAATAATAATTTCCGATGTTGAGAAGGAACAGCATTAGAAATGCAAAAGCGCAAATACATTATTCGGCATGGCCCAGGCAGAAGACTGGAAGGACTGACTGCAGTTAAATTATTCAGTTGATTGTCTTTTTCAGGGAGATGTTGGTGTTCCTGGAAACCTTGGTCCCGCTGGGCCAGTTGGTGACCCCGGAGAAAGAGGATTACAAGGACTGTTAGGCCCAACAGGAGAGCCAGGGAAAGAGGTATATTTTTGTCATAGGGTAACAAGGCAAAGTTATCAGAATGCTTTTTCTGACATATTATTTTCTTGTGTTTAGGGGGACATTGGGGACATTGGAGATATTGGCGACCCTGGACCTCCAGGAGCAAAGGTTTGACCAGGATTAGATTTGTCTGTACGATTTGGCTTAAAATTGTTCACTTTTTGCCTATAACATTCTCTAACTTATGTAACATTAGGGAGAATTTGGACCACCTGGATGTAGTGGAAATCATGGGCCCAGTGGCATTATGGGAGAGCGTGGAGTAAGAGGCCCAAAGGGAGAAATGGGTCAAGGAGGGCCCCAGGTGAGCAGGCGAAAAATACAGTTTGGTTACAAAATTAGAGTTCTCTGCTACAGCTTCTCTCTTTTGCATATTTATATATTGTGGAGCAGTTCTGTAGCTCTTTACAATGTACATAGATGCATCAATGTTTACAGCTTACAGCTTAATGTCTCTATAACAGTTACACAAGAAAGCACTCGATAGGGCCAGTGTGGGTAAAAGACAGTTAACATGACAGTGTGTTATGGAATAGAGTAATCCCACACAAATATGGGTAGAACAAACGCCATACAGATATATCTCTGCTGGGAACTAAAACCTGGTTTCCAGCATTTCAGGGCCATGGTGCTGTTCACTAAGCCTGTCTTTGGTTTCTTTTTGAGTTTGTGTAATGGACATATTACCAAATGAACACGTAAGTACACAACATCTTGCAGTTTAAACCAGTTGGCATTAGTTCAGGTATTGATTTTACTTATTGCCTACAGTTGATTTTTGACTATACCTTGTCGTCCCTCAGGGTCCACCGGGACTTATGGGAATTCCAGGACCCCTGGGGCCACCAGGAGACACGGTATGTAAACCACATGATACCTGGAAAATAGGAGAATTGGCATGTTGGATTCTTTCTCATGAGAAAAGCGGGAAGTGGCAGCTGAGTTTCTATAAAAAAATGTTTTATTCTCAGGCAGCAATAGGAGATCCAGGACCTTCTGGTCTAGATGGGCCTCCAGGAATAAAGGTAATTTTCATGCAGACATTTTCAAGACACCAGGCTATATTACTAGTTTAAGAAATAGAAGATCATACATTGTTTTGATTTTTTTTTAAATGTTTGCAGGGTGATTTAGGCCCCAGTGGTGTGACCGGATATCCTGGCCCTCGAGGAGGTTTGGTACGCGCAGATTGTGGTTATAAAGAATCCCATACCTGAGGTTTTTGCATTATTTTGTTGTTTAATATTATCTCTGTTTTCAGGGTCCTCCTGGTGTGAGAGGAGAGAAGGGTGAGCAGGGTCACCATGGAGTCCTGGTGAGTAAGGAGACAAGATCAAATGGATGAGGAGAATTAGGGGCTATTAGGTACCTTTAATATGTTGTAACATTTTATAGGCTCCACCAGGTCGAACTGGGAGTAAAGGATCACAAGGTCCTTCAGGGCTCCCTGGCCCGGAAGGACACAAGGGGGAAACAGGAAGTGAAGGCCTAAAAGGGATCCAGGTAATAACCAAATAATTCTAATATTATAATTTTTTATTGCTGATTCAGCTTTTACTTAGTAGAGATTTTACCTAGTAGATAGTGCTCAATTGTAGATCCTCTGGTGCACAGCTTAGCAATATTGGGAGTAGCTTTACCTAAATAAAGAATGGCTGGTTGGGACTTTGCAGTGCTTTGGTGGGTTGGGATGGAATCCGATAAAATGCATATACACATATGCCAGAATACCATTAATTAAAACCACGTTAGGAATCAAGCGGTGGTTGTATAACAAACACCTCAGATAGTAATATCTTCCAACATTATGTATATACAGATGTAGATGTCTCTAAGGATGTGGCTGCACTCCTGGAGGTGGACAGTGCATGGATAAAGATCAGTATTGAACTTTGTTTACATGGTCTGGACTGGTATCCATGGAGGTTGAGGTGGCTGACTGTATTGGGTGGCATGAGGTGACCTTTTCTCCTCTCCGGGGCCCGGGACATAGACACATACTGTAGCTGATTTCCCAATCCAGTGATCAAGCTCAGAGTGTTTTCTATACAAGGCCCTACTTGAGGAAGCCCCTGGCAAGGGGTGAAATGCGTAGAAGACAAAGCTACATCTTAGATTTTAAATCTTAATGTATACTAATGTCCAACAGGAAGAAGGACATAACATGCTGGGACAATATATCTACATCTGTATATACATAATGTTGGAAGATATTACAGTCTGTGGTGTTTTGTCTCTAAAGGTGACTGTTATACAGTACAACCTACGCTTGATTCATAATGTGGTTTTAATAAATGGTATTCTGACAGATTTGAAGTTATAATGGATTGTAGAAGTGGAGATGTGTATGCTCCTGTTTTTATAGACGGGGTGGAGGTAGAGCGACTGCACGGGTTTCACTTCTTTGTATGGAGAATATTAATTATTGTCCAGGACAACTAAAACCCGAGCTATGATTTCTTTACAGTGCTACCATCAGGTACGCGGTATAGGAGTATTGCTTCTTATACCACCAGCTTTCAGAATAGTTTCTTCCCCAAGCATATTATATTGTAGGTTAAGGAGGAATATGCAGTGCAGGATGGGATGATTTTAGTCAATGTATAATTTGATTGTGCTACAACTTGTTTTCATTTTATGATTTTTATTGTAAAATAATGAATATACTCTTGAATCATATAATGTTGACAGGTGCACCAAGGAATGATGATTAAAAATGTCAACCGTGTAGCCAGATACATCATAAAATATTCTTCTTTATTTTAAGGGACCTCCTGGGGTCACTGGTGAGGCTGGAGCTGTGGGAATACCAGGAAGAGAAGTGAGGATTCAACAAACTATTAGTGCATGTAGAAATGCAGACAAACTAGGCATATTCACTGGTGCCTCTGTTTTATATACTAGGGGGAAACTGGTGAGAAGGGACGACCTGGAAAACCAGGGGTGCCAGGACAAGTGGTAAGGAATATTGAGCATAATACTGTTTTGTGGTGTGAGTGGGACTATCATTGGTGTATATATACTGTATATATATGTAGACAGAAAGAGAGAGAGGGAGAGGATGTGTAAATGTCTGTATCTGTACTCCAGGGAACTATGGGAAATCCAGGCACAGAGGGAAACCCAGGACAAAAAGGAGTGAAGGTAATTTATTTCATAATATTGTTCCCTATGTAAATGTTTACAAAACATTTCCACAACCCAACTAGTTTTGTCTAAATGCATTGTGATTTTAAAGCTGAACTTTGGAAAAAATTAAACATGACCTTTGCAGCGGGGCTCCCCTTGCACACTGTAAGACTTAAATGCTTGTTTTGTCAAGGGGGAAAATACTAAGCAGCTATACTTATTATTCCTTGCTTCCCCCACCAGCTGGCTCTCTTCTATACTGTCTTTCACTTTTCTCCACTCTAGCATGTGGTGGAGCAATAGCAGGTAAGTATTAGTCCCTGTTAGGCATTTTGACATTCATTTAAATGGCACCTGAGAGTTTTGTTGCAAGCTGCAAATTGTCGAATGGTAAAAAAAAAAGAAAAAAAATGTTTAAAAATATTTTTCACTTACTTTATTAAATAAAGCAAATTAATATTTTTACAATTTAATTTAAAGCCAGCAACTTGAGCTCTAGTCTTGTTCCCCCACATGTTTTCCTGTCTATCCTTACCTGTTTTATTAACAGAAGAACTGTCTCAGTTTGCCAGAGAGGAGGAGTTTGAAGGTATACAGGTTCTGCTGTCTCTCTGCTTAGAGAACCCATGGTGCCTCAGTGATTCTGTGCAGTGGCTACACCCTGCCTTCCATGGCTATGTTCTGTGCCATGACTACAACCTGCCTTCAATGGCTATGTTCTGTGCTATGGCTACACCCTGTCTTCTGTGCTATGACTACACCCTGTCCCAGGGCCGTGCCACCTGTGAAACCAGACGGCACTTATGGAATCAGCAGAGGGTGGCACTGAGGCCTTATTGGGCACTATGTCCTTGGTCCAGCTCAGTAACGCTGAGCCTGATAAAACTATAGGCTCAGTGATACTAATCCACTGTGCTTGTCACAAAGGAAGACTCAGTGGCCAAGCCTCTTCAGTAACGTGGAGCATCTTAACAGTGCAGGTTAAGTGTCACAGTGACTGGTCAGAGACTTTTACTCAGATACAGCCTGCTTTTTTAACAAGCTTCATGTCACCGACTGGCTATGTGTGCTTGTGAGTGGGCACACACACACTGGGGGAGGGCACAAAAATGGTTGTTAGGGGTTGTATATGCCCCCCATGGCTCTAGTCAGTCCTATAAAGTTTCTGAGTTGTTTTTCAGTAGCTATGAATTTTATATGAAGCAAACCTGCAAAAATGCAGGAGCTGCAATCGCTGACCTTTTTTTTAAAATGCCATTTGCCTGGCTGTCAGGGTGATCTGATAGCATGCTTTATTGCACCTTGAAGAAGTATGCAGATCACGAAAAACGAGGGAAAAGATCATTGTATGCATAATTGTTTTTAGTCATTGACTCAAAATATCCGTCATTTCTGTCCCGTGATATTTAACTCCTGTTAACTAGCTGTATTAAATAAATCAATTTCTTGTTTTATCTTAGCTAGCTATGCAATCATGTGATCAAGGAATCTTTTCATTTATTCTTACAGGGGGAGAAAGGGAGAGATGGACGACCTGGCTCTTCTGGCAGTGTGGGCAGGAAGGTAACTTTGTAACGGGTACAGAGAAAAGGATAGAGCTTTTTAGGGTGACACTTTAACACATTTGGATCCTCAGTGTACTGCACAGACAGTCTGCATATATCCGTGATGTTGTATGTGAATTATAAAAGTATAGCTCCACATTTACCTTTTCTTAACCCACCCTTCACCACACACATATACACACACATAGTTTTTCAAAACACTTTACCATAAGATTCTAGTTATTGAACCAGCAACAACAGGGCTTATACAAGACAATGAATATTTAACCTTTGAAGTGACACCTAAGTTAAAACTTAAAAATGCATTCACATACCATAACTATTGACAAATATGTATCCTTTTTGTGTATCACTCGGCCTTAGATCTTCAAATCATCTCTGAATTGGTGTTGACACTGTCCTTCCTTCTGGAGGGTGCCTTCTTTTGCTCCCCATGGTCCCTGTGTGTGTGTTATAAAGTAGCCACTGCTCCAAGCTCATTCCCATAAGATTTAACCTTTGAGTTTAGTGTCACTTTAAATTATTATAACTGTGCAGGCATCTTTATGTGAAATGTATATTTTAGGGCTGGTACTGATTAAAATGTTCGTGTTCGATTAATCTACATTTTTTTTAATCGATTAATTCCGATTAATTATAACGCACATACAGATCCAACTACATTGCCCTAGACACATACAACACAGCAACGAAGTAATACAATGAACTAAGATCACACTAATCCAGCACTTTATTAATCTCACGTGCCCCCACTCAATATGGCCGCCGCTTGTGTGGGGCAACTCCGAATAATAACGTGCTGGATTAGACAGGGGAGGGACTGGATTCCCCCCTCCCCGCTACGATCCTCCAGCGCTGACTGGCGGAACAGAATGGGGAGGGGGCGGGTACAGCTGGCTCTGCCTCTAGATAGGCAGAGCCAGCTGTCACTCACGCAGCTGGGCGGATCCAGACATAATTGTCGGGATCCGCTTCAGCTGCGGCGTCTCAGTATACCGCGAGCTGTAGGAACTATGGGGAAAAGCCCTGACCCCATAGTTCTCCTTTAAAGACCCTTTTTATAAAAAACCACCAATTGAGCTGTCAGAAAACAGCTCAGTTTTGGACACCAGTTTATAAAAGGATGTTGTGGAATCGGAAAGAATGCAGAAAATGGAAACTAAACTGATAAGATGCATGGGGGAGCTAAGCTCAGCAATGAGGAATGATTAGTTGAATGTAATTTGTTCTTTCTTGAGAAGTGATCACAATGTATAACTAAATAAATGGTCCAAATAATGAACTTGGTGCTAAAGTATTCAATGTAAGATCTGTGGAATAGGCTACCTCAAGAACTAGTTCTAGCTAGCTCAGTTAATTGCTTTAATATTGAATATCCATGTTCTGCATATTCTAAACTGTGACAGGTTCTCTTTACACTCCAAAATGCATTACCTCAAAAGCAAGTGTTGGCTTAATTTTTTTTTTTAATGCATACTATGCTTTACTACAGCAATTACCTGACAACCCCTTCAGTTAAAATTGTTTAGCTATGATGTTTAGCTATGGTGAAAGTGTTTTCCATCAGTCTGCACAAACTGATAAACATGCATTGACAGAGAAGAAAAGCAGACCACAATCACTAGGCAGGACTGTAAAAGTAATCAGCAAATCTAGCTGCCCCCGTATACATGTGTAATTTTCGTTTTTAAAACTTACAAACATACATTGATTACAGTTAGCTAGCCACAATCACATATGTCTTTAAAACAATGATACAGACTTTCTTTACCTTTAAACCTGATTTATTTTTTAATGGCTTCAGGGCAAAAGAGGAAAAGCAGGATCAAGACCACCACGTGGGCCTCATGGACCCAAGGTAGGAAAAGCAAAACATTTCATTCGTTTTTTTGGGGGCTATCCAGTAGGACAGAGGAAACACAGGTCTGCGGGTATCCTACACACATTATATCGCCACCCAATCTCTCTGCCACACCAGGATCAGAAAACAAATATCTATAGACACTATATTCTTAGCAGTCAAGTAGGTTTACATTTATTGTAGTCAGATTAACAAAAGCTAGTTGCTGATTGGCTGTTTTAGAGTTTCTTTTGCAAAGTGGTGTGCTCTAAAGCAGTGGTTCTCAACCTGTATAATCTCAGGACCCACATTTGTCCTTGGTCATTAAGTAGCGCACTGCAATGGAATGCACGGCATTGCAGTACAGGGCGTTCGGCTGCAGACGATCGGACTGTGGGCGGGAGGTGTGTTTGGGGTGTCATTTTCCACACCAGAGCGTGCAACAGGTGTGATTACGTGGTGCAGTGCATTAATTGCATGGGACTGTGTGATTAACGCACTGTACTGGTGTGAACGGACCCTCAAAAACACAGACACACCAAAATTGTTTTATAATTCTCCCTATCTTATGAGAACTGGAGAGGATCCTCAGCTTGGGGTCCACAGTGGGCTGCTCCAGCCATATGCGCATTGTTTGTACAGCTCCCTTGGGCCCCCCCGTAGAGGTGCCAGGAGCCAGAATGTGACGTCAGTCCAGTCCAGGCACCTCTACAGGGCACATGTGGGAGCTGTAAGCAATGAACATATGGATGGAGCTCCCTTTTGGCCATACTTCCAGCCCAGCCCACCTCAAGCTGACATGCAGGGTCGGGCAGCATATTTTGGATGGCTACACGCATGAGAACTGACGGGTCTGAGCTAGGGGGAGGCTGAGGAGTCTCTCACCTTTAAAAGTGAAAGGCATGTGGTGATCCACTGAACATAGGGTGCGACCCACTTTTGGGTCACGACACACCAGTTGAGAACCAAGGCTCTGAAGCAATATTTATAGTAGTATAATTTTGAGCAGGGAATGGTTCGAACTTAGAACCTTTGTCTGGTTTTCATTCCTCTATGTGTCCCCACTGTTCTGGTATCCATTTTCAATGATGGAAATCCAAAATTTACAGTTATCAGCAGAACAGGAGGTCAGGGGTAATATTTCAAAGTGGACACCTGTTTCGGTGACAGTTGTCTAAGACAACTTATTTTGCATGCCTGCTTTAAGTAAAACTTTTATAACAATACTAAAAACATCTATTTGCAGAAAACACAGGATTCTGGGTTCCATCTGCTCTTGCAAAGGACAGTGTTTAAGTGAGATCAGCAGAGTGTTCAGGTGGAGCTACTGATTTGTTGGCTCTGCTTGAATGTCAGTACCATAAGTATCTCTGGCAGAGACCATGTGACGTATGCCAAGGCATTGGTCATGTGTCTGGCTCCGGCTCCTCAAAGGAAAGGTTATTATATTTGTATCTGAACCTTTATTTAAAGTAGCATGCTTTAATAAAGCAATTATATATATTTTTTTGCCTTTGGGTTAGTTTGATATAGAGAGATTCATTTGTCATTTTTTTATTTTCCTTTTTTTGTTAAAAAAAGTTGATTCACAAAATGGCATAAAGTGTGTCAGAAAAATGTACTGTATAATGTATTCCTGTTCAGTAAATACTATTTGGACTTCACTTTCAGGGAGCCAAAGGAAGACAGGGTCCAGACGGGCCACCAGGACCAAGAGGACCCTATGTGAGTGTTTGCATTGTCAGCTATATTCATTGAACATTTGTTTTCTCGTGGCTTTCAACTCCCCTTATGTTTTCCAGGGTATTCCAGGACTCAGGGAACAGAAAGGAGAGCCAGGTCCAAAAGGGCTGAAGGTAAGAGACCAAAACAATCAACATCTACTATGCATGAACAGTGGCGGACCTAAGGAACAAAGGGCCCTGGTGCAAGATTTTTTTTGGGCCCCCCACCCCCCAAAAAAACCCACAAACACAGCGCTCTCCTCACGCAGCGCTCAGCCGGCTGTGACTTTTTCTCCTCCCCGCTGGGACACAGAGCAGCGCCCAGCGGGGAGGAAAGAATGCACGGATGCGCTGCTGTATCAACAGAAAAATTGCACTTTTGGCATTTAGCCAAAAGTGCCATTTCCGGCCGATATCTTTTGCGGCCGATATATCGGTGCAACCCTAATATTTACAGCAATGCAGAATGGCACAGGCTATAGAGGACTACACATCCCAACAATACTTTATATAACAATAGCATTTCTGTATAAAGTACTGCATGCATGAACATGATCTCTAGAAAAGGTGCTATAGCTATGGCATAGGCAACATCTAAAATGTGTATTTTCCCTAATCAGTACACTGACAGATTTACCTTTTGAATTAAATTACTTTTGAAAAATAGCAGTGTTCTTCCTGTGTCTAGGCACTCATGTAGATTGAGCCTAGTATCTGTATATCTGCAGTGTGAATTTAAGGCGCTATTCCTCTAACAGGTGGAGTGAGATTTGGTGATGCCACTACTGTGCGGCTCACTTTTCCCTTTGCTGGAGAGGGGGCTGTAACTGCCAAGCTGCAGTGCAAGGATTTCCCCGCTTTTGCTTCATTAATTGTGTGTATCTGGACTTTCTGCGCCTCTTCTGTTGCTTCTTGATTAATACCCCACCAGTCATCAAATCATCAGTCATCAGGAAGGCAAATCTGAAATTAAAAATCAAAGCCTTCTCCTAAACCAAGATGCTACCTCCACACAGAGACACAATGTGGAATAAGGCATGGTAAATCTGTAATGAGGAAAAACAATACTGATGACTAGTTTTTTGTTCTCTTCTTTACTTATTAGTCACTTACACAGTTCAGGTGCTCTTTAAAAGTCTATTGAAAAGAGTGCATTATAAATAATTCCCCAAATCTCTCCCAATGATTAGCTAATATCTTCCTTACCTATAACCTCAACTCATACATGGCTTTCATTTTTGGTGGAGGAGTTACCATGCTTTGCCGTTCTCTTTCCTGTCCTATAGACACACTTTCTCCATTAATTAAAGGAGAGTTATGAGGCGAGTGATTTTCACTCAGCTTCATAATCTTAGCCGACCTGTGACAATGAAACTGTCACAGGTGGGCTCAGTAGATTGAGAAGTGAGCGAACACATACCGTTGCTCGCTCACTTCTCGATCCTGTCACTGCAGAGAGCCGTAACTGTCACTGTCAATCCCGCAGCTGGGTTGATCTCGACAGCAATGTCGGTATCCATTCCGGCTGCTGCGTCTCAGTATACCGCGAGCTGTAGCTTTGGGTCACGGGAGAACGCTAGTTTGTGTTCTCCCGTGACCCTTAGGTGAACCATGGGGAAAAGCCCTGACCCCATAGTTCTCCTTTAAGTAAACAAACTCTTAAAACCTGCCTCTTCAGAACTTCCTATGCAATTTAACTTCTACCATCACCCATTATAGCCGTGTAACCAACTCTTTTTCCTTCCATCTACCACTAACTGACCTATGCTATCTCATTGTAGCTACTGTACTCCCACCTCTAAGACTGGAACTTCTGTCAGGCAAGATGGTGTTGTCCTATGTTCTGTTCTACTATGGGTCTTGTTTAATGTCCGTAATTTGTATCTCTTTGCTCAGTGATGACATATCACATTGTTATAACAAAGGATGACAGTAAGCATAAGCAAGATATTTTACATCTTCATTTTTATTACATTTTCTACTCGCTTGATCAAAAATATTGTCATCTACTCAACATGACTAGTGCCTGGGAGTAACCAGCATGTCTACTCTGCAGGGTGAAGTTGGCTTAGATGGGCCGTTTGGGCCAAAAGGAGAAGAAGGCCAGAAGGTTTGGAAATGTTTTCACCACTCATAATAGAGATTTTAGACTTTCTTCTGCATCTCAACCTTATGTTATTAGCTTTCATCTTTTAGGGAAAACAAGGACTTCCCGGGGACAATGGACCTCCAGGGGAGAAAGGTGACGAGGTACATAATTTACTTTTCTAATACTAGTAGAATAATGTATTACATTAAACCTGGCTCCATTGTTCTCTATCAACCCTTACAGAGAGCCTGCTGCTATATAAAATGTTTTAAAGCAAGCCATACCTATAAAAGAAGTCACGGGATGTCACTCTATTCCTGACAAATCTTCTACTGAGGTCTGCACTGAAACTCACGATTTAGAAAGTGTTGAGCTCATGGGTCTCCAACAGCCCTCACTGGTTTCTCCCTGTGACTGCTACTCATTACAGGATAAAGCAGTAATGTGGAGGTTACAAGGAGGAACCAGTGAAAACTGCAGGCAACCTATTAGATCAACATTTCTGTAAGGGTCGGTTTCAGTCTAGATTTCTGCAAAACATTTCTCAGGATCAAAGTGGAGTTCAGTGGCATAGGCAGCAGAATTTTAAAACATTTTGTTTAGTGACAGGGGTGCATAAAGAGAAAGTACAGTGTATATGCAACAAACATACATTTTGACTTATTATTACAGTGTTTGCCTTAACGTGTATCTAAACCCAAAAGCAAAGATTTAATATATTTCAGCTTACCAGTCCTTAGATGTGGTGGCTGCATTCGTTTTCTTTTTTAGGCTCTGTTTTCTTTATTTTCCCAATAAATTCCCAGGTCCAGTAAAATAAATTGCTGCAGAGAACAAAGGGGAATTAATATAGCCAGAGCTCAAGACATTTATAGCTGCAGATGGATAACATAAAATTCAAGAAAAAGTATTTGCTTTCCCGTATGTGTTAGTCACAAAATATTTGTCAAAATGTGTTGTTTTAGTTAATTGTGTTGTAGTTTATCTTCTCAAACTGGAAGACAGACTAAGCTAGCCATTCATGTAAAAACTAGGAGGACAAATACTTCCTACCTTAGAGGTAAACAGTAAGTTCTGCAGTAGATCAGGAAATTAAAGCATTAAGCACAGTAGGCCCATAGGTGGCAGAGACAAAGAGACAGCTTTCTTTGGTCACACAATTCCTGTCAAAAGTGGAAATATATAAGTTAATTTGCACACTGTCACAATATTCTAAGCCAGGATAGACTAAGTAAAACAACAAAAAACAAAAGAGCGCCACAACCTAGCCCAGTCACTGGTCCAGTGATTGTGCTAAATTGTGGCGCTCTTTTGTTTTTTGTTGCCTTCTAGCACCACACAGGATACCTCAACCTGTTTTCTAAGATCTTGAACACCTACCATTGGCACTACGAGATCCCCCCATTGACACACTTTCAGTTTTAAGTAAAACAACAAACTTTACTTTGTAACACGGATGATCCAAGCAGAAGGGGCGCTTTGGGTGCCAAGGGTTGTGTGCCAACAGGTTCCCATCAAAAAAAAATCCGGTTCTGCTTACAGATTTAAAGAGAATAAAAGTAAATACACTGTAGCAGCAATAAGGTAGGAATGAAATGGGTAAATCATTTTGCAATTTTTACTTACAAATATAGATCACCAAAACAAAAATTTGAAGTTCTTGAATTTTATTCTCATTAGGGAGTTATTGGGCCTCAAGGACCCCAAGGACTTCCCGGGTCCCAAGGTCTTCCAGTAAGTAAATTCTACAATGTTGTGCCTATACAAACACACATCCAAATATTCTCATATTTGTAGCTATTTAGGCTAAATTTAGTGTTTTCTCTCTGTTTTATGTTTAGGGTCCTGAAGGCATGCAGGTGAGGCATATGGCATCATGTTCCTCTCCTATTTTATCAATGTGTCATGTATCAATTTATGATATCTGCTTTTGTAATTGCAGGGGCCAAAAGGTTTCCAAGGACCTGAAGGAGCTCCAGGCCCTCCTGGACCACCGGTAAGCAAAAGTTTAGGAAGGGTGACAGGAGTTCATGGACCACCATCAGCTGGGCAACAGCAGTTCCCATTATGTGCTGGAGGCTGCTGGCTTGTTTTTTTGTCAATTACTGAAAATCTATTGGTTGGTCAAGCCTAACTAACACTGGACATATTCTGAGAATGCAAAAACATGTAATAATTGACCATTCCACAAGAAAACCACACAGCTCTTTAGTACTTGCATCCTCCAGACATTTTCAAGTCACTTGCACAATTTCTACATCTGGTACAGCAAATTATTTGTTCCTGAAAATGCTTATTTTTGCACATCCATTAGACAATACAGGTGACCATTATTAATTGTGGCAAAATCAAACAGATTCCAGTTAACAGACATAGGATGTCAAATGTTTCCCTTTTATTGTATATTCCTTTATGTAAGGCTATGCTTTCTTTGGTTTTTAGGGACCCCCAGGAGCACCTGGTCCCCCAGGGCTAGTGCTGAGTGCCCAGAGCCAGAGTATACGGGTAAGTGATAAAAAAATTGGTGTAGAGTGTGGACTCTAAGCTTTCCTGAGGATGAACGTTTCAGAAAGTTGTGAGACTTCTGGTAATAGTAGCAGTTAAGGTATATCTAAAGCCAATTTTTTTCAGTGCCTATGTCCCTTCACTATTGCTTTCCGTGGTCACCAGAATTAATAGAATGGTTTATCTTTCCAGCAGGGACATAGAGAGCTGTAAAAACCTGTCAAATATTCTAACCCTTCCCTACTCTATCCAAAAACTAAAAAAAAATTAAACATTTTGGCTTTAGATACATTTCAGGACATCGAAAAAATATTTTTTGTCACTTTCTAGCGGTTGTTTCCCCATTTGGCATCATGGAAGGACATTGTTCCATGGGATCTCATCCATCATCTGGAAGAAGACCTGAAGCTCTTGGCTGCCCCACCTAATGGGACCAAGGAAAATCCAGCGAGCACATGTAAAGAACTCCAGCTTGTCCACCCTCAACTGCCAGATGGTAGGGTATTCTGAGACAGTGCTGACATTAAATATAACATATCTTAGTATGTAGCCAAGGATGGGGCATATTCTTCAGCACAATGGCTTTGTGGCTATGCCTCTTTCAGGATTGATAGAAATGTTCTAGGGATCACTAATGGTATATTTTTTGGATCTTGTCTGCTAGGATATTATTACATTGACCCTAACCAGGGCAGTCCTCAGGATTCTTTTCCAGTGTTCTGCAACTTTACTGCCGGTGGTGAGACCTGTGTGCATCCTCAGGAAAGCCAGGTAATTTACAATGGTTACATGACAGCAAACAAGTTGTTCCGTAGTTTTCAGGTTGACCAATCCTGTTGTTTACGGTTTGTAGATATTGGGAAAGGCATGGCTTCAGAGCTACTCATTGCAAGAAGGATTCCAGTGGTTCAGCATGCTTCCTGGGGGCTTTTCGGTAAGACCAGAGCTGGATCTATGGTCAGTTGATGCAAGGGAAGGTTAAAATCCAGACCATGTCAAAACCATTGTTAATGCTAATTCAGTTTCAGTCTTCTGCTAGTGATCACACTCACAACAAAATGTATTATAATTGAAATGTACTTATCTTCCACTAGGCTTTATAGATGAAAGCAGCATTGGTTACCAAAGTAGTAGTTCAGCAGCAGTCCAGTCTTGAATTAATAAGCACGATACCTTTTTTATATCCATCTAACTATAGGCATTACATTTTATTATAGGCATTTAATTATAGGTATTAGAGTTAGTTATATTAGCCAATTTCTTTTATGAGTTAGTATAGATGTTAGTATAGATGTTAGTACAATGCTATGATATAAGGTTCCCAATTTGTGATTAGCACATCGGAGCTGGTACCTAATCCAGACATTGCGATAACTGTGTGGAACAGTGATCGGTCCCTGAGTTTGTCTTAGAGGAGGTTCACACCATTTTCCAGACCAGATCTGGTCTGGAAAATGGTGCGAAACTGCCCGCAGTTCCAGTGCATTCCAGACAAAATGAGACATGCAGTATTTTTCTAGTCTGGTCTGGAACGGACTGCGCTGGTGTGAACAGAGGCCAGAAATAGCACAGTGATACATTAAGATGCATTTTGGGTCTGGAAACAATCCAGATTGTCTGCAGACAATCTGGATATGGTGTGAATGGGCCCTTAGACCTTGGCTAGGACCTTAAACTTACTTCTTATATTTTTATTGTTTTTTTTATTTTTCATCTTCACCATGAAGTTGTTGTACAATGACAAGAGTGTGGTCCAGCTGCGGTTTCTCAGACTCCAGAGCCTGCGTGTATACCAAGTACTGCGATACGTGTGCCTTGCTCAGCCAGGACGACCTACAAGGGACAAGGACGTGAAGTTTTTGACAGACGGACGTGATCAGAGCTTCCTGGTGACCCTCCAGGGATGTGAGGTATGTGGTGTTTCACAGAAAAGAAGTATTAAAGCCTCAGAGTGCAAAGTAAGTAACATTTTTAGGAGATAATTCAACAATAGCCTCCAATATATTTTCCCTCCACACAGGTTTCTTCTAAATTTATGGCAGAGTTAATTACACATCATCAAAGGTTTTTATTACTTTCTGTGTCCCCACGTGTGAGATTGCCTCTCCTGTTGCAGTGACCACATGGAAATTGAAGGTAAGTCTCCCGTCGGGGTCACAGGCAGCAATAATAGCTCAGCAGAGGTTCTGTTTCCCACACCTTGACATGACTGTGTGACATTGGGTTCAGCATGGTGGCTGAATGTAAAAACCTTGAAATCCCTGGTCTTCCTGAACACATTGTTTGAGGAGCAAACTGGAATGATTGTAACACCGGCATTTAGGGAAATCCTGGACTACCTTCCCATCAGTGAGACATAGCCAGGACTTGGTGGAACATTAATAGCAATAAACATAATGTAACAGCCGCACTCGGATCGGAGCTGGAGCCGCGGCTCGTGGACACCCTGCGCAGGCGCGCCGCGGGTCTGTAACCCCGGCTCGGCAGGGTAAGAGGGTGACGTCAGCCGCTGCTTTCCAGCTACGCCTTGCACAGACGCATCAGAGGATCCCTCCTTCTCTTCCCCACGCCGCAGCCACGTCGGGCGCAGGAGCGTCACGAAACTCCGCCCCCTCCAGACGCAGTACCCGGCTTAAAAGCCACAGCTGAGGTATTGATCGGCGTCTTCTGTTGTGTGTACAGGACGCTGACCAAACCAGCTCCCTACTCGCCTCACAAAGGACCCAAACACCTATACCTGTCAGGAGACTCCACAACCAAAGCCACCATACCTATCCGGAGACGCCACACCAACGAACCGCAAGTACTCTGGAAATTAATGCTCTGATTAAGAGATTCGGTCAAACCTCAGACGCATGTTGATCTTGTGGGTCTCTTCTAATATATGTGTGATACCCTGACAGCCTATCGAATAGTCAAACTGCCTTTAGGACTCTTACTAAATGTTTTCCATTCTTTACCTTACTTGCATCATAATCTTCCAGTGCAACTAGTACCCTGGTGTTGATCAGAGGTACAGCACTAAGAAGGAGACTGAGTTCACTTATACCAATAGAATTGAATACGGGGTGTGATGCATTGCAGTTTCCTCTTGGCCTTACTTCAAAACTGGGCAGAAAGAGGATAAATTGCTACCTGATTCCCGTCCTACAGCACTAGCTAACACCGCAGTTGAGATCCACTGTAGAACCTACCTCACGTTACTGGCGAGCATTACACATAAGGATGCACACAATGTTTCGAGGCAATGATCTTCACCATGTCTTGCCTAACAAAAGGGGATTAACCCAAAAACGTATTTCTACACACATACTGTCTGTCTGCAAGTTTGCTACAATAAACAGAGTATTCCCTAATACAGTATGAGCCCGATTACTTTCTTTTGCTTGTTGGACTGGAGAGGCTGTGTCAACCTTTCTGATTTACCAATCTATACTGATCATTTCAATCTTTTGCTAAATGCTTCATTATCACTGGGCTTGGTGGATCCAATGTATTGATGTCCTGGCAAATTTTGTCCTCATGTGGGAAATGTAGGAAGCTCATTGGCTGCAAGCATTGTTCGGCAAACAATTTTCCAGCGTGCCCCTTCGACAAAATTCTATCTAATGATCCACTTTTGTCAAGGACATGAGGCAACCCTCAGATTGCATTCAATCCATGTGTACCCTAGGATATAAGGCAACCCTCGGATTGCATTTAATACATGTGTACCCAGCTTTAGAGAATAGCTGGAAAGGTAACACAGAAAATCACCTCCCACTGTGTTGATGCCACTTGACAGACCAGAATCGGGTTCCCTAGTTCCTAGATAGTGAATCAGTAGCTGAGTTTTTACTGCAGAATGCTCCATAACCACTTGAAGACTGGAGTTTACTCCTTACCTGTCCAGACCACTTTTCAGTATTCAGCACTGCGATACTTTGACTATCATTTATTCAGTCATGCAATGCTGTACTGAAATGAATTTTATATCATTTTTGGGGACAGATAGATCTTTCTTTTGGTGGTATTAAATCACTGTTTTTTTTTATTTTTGAATATTGTAAGAAAGTCACTGGTCTTTAATCAGTATTGGCAATAAATGCAGCTTTATTGCATTCAACGTAAAAGTCTCTTATTATCCACAGGGTACGTTTCCCCCTTTTTAAACAAACAATTTCCGGCAGAACTCAAAAGTAACACAAATAAAAAGGCCTACTCCACCTTAGGAGGCTAACTAAACGGTAGTGTCCCTCACTACGTCCTACTGGAGCGGCTATTCAAGCTTCAGTACCCTGTCACAATATATAAAAAGAAAAAAGTACCAAACATTTTGAAAAAACAAACAACTTTTCCCTGTTATGTTATGAAACTAGCATACCCAAAATTGGCAATAGGTGACGCTTTAAAAGCTTTTACTGCTCATCAATTTAGTGTTAACAGTGATTGATGGCCCTAAAATTATTGCTCACACTCCGACATTCGCGGTGATATGTAACATGTGCGGCACAATGGGTGCAATTGTTGTTTTCACGCGTAGGTGCACCCGATACATGTGAATGTTTTTACACTTTTGCCTTGAGTTTTGCCTTTACAAAAAAAATCAGCAACCAAAGTCATGAAGACTAACTGATTACTTTGTCTCTTCACAGGCCAGTGAATCATTCAACAGGACAGAAACTCTTCTTCATTTTGCTCCCTTGGACCTATCCTTACTTCCTGTCCGTGACTTGGCTGTGTATTTTGATGGGGACATGGACCACCAATATGGCTTCCTCATAGGCCCCGTGTGCTTTAGCTGAGATATGTTTTTCTGCGCTGGCACACTGGTGACGACGCACCCCCAGTTGGAGGATGGACGCCCTGTGCTATTTATACAGGAAAGTGATATTTGGACCTACACCCCCCTCTCTCAGGAAGGGAGACCCTAGATATTGTTTACAATGGAACTTGGTGCTTTTTCTAAATCTCCTGGTGAGAACCACACACACACCTCAAGTCTTCCAACCCAAGGAACATGTGATGTTCTGTGGAAGGATGACTGACCTCGAATGCACTTATTTTTCATTGTCATTTGGTGCTCAGTGAAACATTGCACAACCCTTTCCACCCAGACCCTTTCCAGTGAAGAAAGACAAACATGAAAATTAATTGTCCCCACAATGGAATAGGTCCATCCAGTGCTCTTACAGATCATTCCTAATACTTTGGTTTGGAGATCGACATGGGAAAGGCTGGATCATGGGACATACATGAAGTTGCAGACCAGTGTCATGAGACTTAGTCCATGTTAAGGGGAATTTTGTGGAGGTCATTTGTGGGCATCTTAAAAGAGGTTTTTTTAAAAAAGTAAACATTCACTCCAAACTAATTGATATGAAAACGGTTTTAAAATCATTCACAGGTGAACTCCAAGAAAACTTGTGATTATTAAAGTTTGACCAATGAAAAACCATGTTGATGTTATAAAAGAATGTTGCCTCTTTGAAGGTAACCTTCAAAGTTCTAGAAAGCACCATTGTCCTGGCTCTTGGTCTGCTTCTCTTCCATGGCACATCAACACTACCTGTGGCAGCCGGCATTCTTACCTTGTAAAATCTCCTGATGGATACCACCGTGATAGCGTTTGGCAGAGGGAGTGATTGAAGATAAACAACAAGTCACAATAAAGGCCATAATTTGGGAAGATGATGCCACCATGGATCAAGCCCTCTACTATACATATGCTTTGGGTAACATTCTTTTATGCCGTTAACTTGCTTTGATTTGTTAAAACTTTATCAACCTTTTTTAGGGTTGTTTCTCATTTAAAGCCCAGCACCAGGCAACAAGTAACATCCATCAGTGAAATTCTTATTGCATCTGCAGTCCTGCTTAAGCCAGACAGAGTTTTACTTTTATATGAGTTTGCTTTAAAATCCAGTGTAGCCAAAATCTATAATTGTGCATGTGCTTCAATGCATGACAGCAGCCTCTTTCTTACATGGTTTTGTGCTGTGCAACCTCCTCATGCACCATTATGAGTTGGTGAGGCTGCAGTAAGCTCAGAGAAGGAGCAGTACATGGGACCAGTCAATAAAAAGAGGACACCAGAAACTATGTGAATTTACTACACATCCTATGTGAACAACAGGCCAAAATGCCCACCACCTCACCACATGTAATCAGCCACCAAAACATTCCTTATTTTCACCTAAAAGCAGTTAGGCTTATTCCTGTTGTTGGTCCTGGCTCTGGTGGGAGGGCTGAGGTTGCTACAGTCATAAGCTGGGTACAGTGGTCAATCTTCTTAGCTATCCAGTTATAGGCTTTTCCTAAACACAGTTCCTGGCCACGTGATCCTCTTGCCACAGCTAGGCAGGATAAACACATGGGGAGAATGGGCCTGTAAGCAGGTGAAAGTAGCATTTTAATATCAGGGCACGCTCAGAAATAGGTACGTTAAAAAAAAGGGTTGTTCTGAGTGGGTTAAAGCCTACTTTAATAAACACAATTTTTTGTTTTTGTTTTACATATTTATTACTTAATTATACTTAATTATATATGGACTGGCCATACAATGTACAATGTTTGTGCAGCATGTCCCAGTGAAAGTATGGAAAGGGTTTTGCTGGCCTATATCTATTCAAGCTCACTGGTAGAAAAGACTTTCAGGGCTCATTCACAGTATATACGTTCGGGCTGTGCTGGCCATTTTAAGAGTGCAGCCCGAACACAAGACAAGGCAGTTTGCCTTGTCATGGGTGGTGACAGTTCACAAAACTGCCATCCAGTGGCGTGCACTTAAAATAGTACGGAATGCAGTACTTTTTTTAAGCGCACTGAAGTGAGATGCAGTACAACCGCATTGCACCATGGTGAGCCCATAGAACTTAATGAAATATATCTTGTGACATTTCAGTAATGTTCTAGCAAAAAATAATAAACAGTGCGATGCGGCTCAATTGAGCTCATCGGCACTGTCAGTGTACATGTACACCGGCAGCCGTGCAGTTGACTGTGGCTGCTGGTGTGAACAAGCCCTAAGGCTTATAAATATTCATAAATAAAAAAATAGTTACATATTTGTCATTTTTTTGCCCATCGGTACTTCTTTTTTCAAGAATTTTAATTATGAAGTAAATCAGTGGGAAAGAGAATATGGAGGCTGCCTTTGCTTACTTGTTTTTAAAGGTGCAGGCTCTGGTGCCAACATCCTGATTTAAGCTTTATTACCTAATAATTCTAGATTAGAATAAAATGTCACCAGCTGCATCTTTGTTCTGGGCCGGTCATTTGCTAGGTAGTAAGGCCAGATTAGGGTGCATGGACACCTCTGTGTTGGAAAATATCCGCATTTTACATGCGCTTGTAATATGTTTTATATGCCATGCATTTTGAAGCATTTTACATTTGTTGAGTTTTTATAGAAAATCAGAAGTGGAAAGATGTTTCCTGGTTTGTTTGTTTTTACAAGATTGTAAAATGTTACCATTCATTTCTATATAACCCGAGTTTACATGGAAAATGCTTTTAGAATGCTGCTGGCAATATTATAACAAACTGCAATGCACTAAAACATGAAGGTATAAATAGTTCCATTCAGGAAAATATCGACTGCATTTTATACATGCAAAAAATGCAGAGTTGTAAATGCACCCTTAGGATGACAGCTCGGATAGCAACCCAGCTTAAATAATAATTAACAATGTATTTTGTTTTTTAACCCCTTCATGACTGAGGCCCTTTTTTCAATTTTTGCACCCATACCCCAGGCAGCAATAATATAAAAGAAACTCAGACTGCAAAACTGACCTTCTATTCAGAACTGTCTCCTGCATTACCTCTTTTTCAACAAAATATGTTCTCAGTGTTCCAGCACCCAATCCTGAAGATTTTGAGTGCACATGTGAGTGCAGGGTGTCATGGCCGCTAGGGAGACATTGCTATGGGACCTCTCAATCACGGTGTACTGGTACAGAGAGTAATCATTGCCAATCTCTGCATCAGTGGGAACCACCAAGCCCAAAGAAGAGGCGAAGAGGACCCTGCGCCATGACTTTATCAGCCTTAAGGCTTTGGAAAAGGTGTGCATTAAACCAAAAAAGCATATAATACAGCCAGTGTGGGCCACAAGGGTGGAGGGAACAGAGCCAGCAGTTGGCCTTTAAGCAGCTTCACATTTATCTATTTTGGTGATCTTTGCTGCAGGTTTCTGCACAGCACATTTTCCATGGGGATGGCTGCTAATGTATGTAAAACAAGTGTAAAAATAAACTGATGGCATTGCAACTGCACCACAGGAAAAATGCATGATATGAGCGAGAACGTAGACTGAGATAGCACCTCCTACTGGCCACATGGCCTTGTGTACAACACTGTTTGGTCAGTAGACCTGAGTGAAATAATCAGGTTGCCATAAATGACCTCTTTCTGAACATACTAGTTGCACAGCTGCCTCTGACATTAATAGCTCCTGAGTCACTCACACAGAACAAGTGTGCATCTGGTAAAGTTAGAGGAAAGTCAGAACTCCTGATGAGGAAACTAATTCTGTGTCAGTGGCTAAAAAGTATCTGAAGCTTCTGGATCAACATAAAAGTCAGACAGTAAGCCCAATTTCAACCCAACTGTCTGTGTCCCTCTTGAAGATATGAGGATTGTAAACAATGCCAGGCTGGGGGTAGGGAGAAGAGGTTAACACCTTGGGTGCTTCAGCAGGAGGGGGTAAAAAAAAGGGCAGGGCCTGCAACCTATGCTCCTGAAGTAGTTCACAGCTCACGAGAAGGGGCAAACTCTATTCACCTTGTCCCAGCACTGGCTGGAAAAACAGTTATTGATAACAAAAATAAATAAATCTCTCCAATGGGGACACAGACAGCAACAAAAATACTTTAGATCACCATCTGATAGATAGGTGCATTAAACAGTTTTTTTGGGTGTGTGCTTTGTTTCAGTCTTTTGAGAAATACCTTTTAAACTGGTATGTTCACATGAATACATGTTATCAATCAAGCCTATGGATTAAAATCCCTGGCAATTAAATGGTAGCATGTTGCCAAATGAAATGTAAACTTCTGTTGGTTGGTGGTTATTGTGGAAACCCCTCTTTATTCCCTCCTTGTGAGGCCCATGATGCCACAATTCAATGTTTTACTTGCTTGTGTTCACAAATTCCTGAACATTGTGTGCATATCCAGTCATACACATGTGAGTATTGTTGGGTAAGATTTTCTCATAAAGCAATGTGATAAAAATGCAATGTATTTAAGCTGTATATATAATTATAAAGGAGATGCAATGTCTATGTTAAATAAAGTGCCTTTTGTTATATATAATCATGGATTTGTAAGACGTGTGTATTTATATTCGGTTCCTATATCAAATTACTGAAAAGATATAAACATTTTAACCTACATTTTGCGGGCAGCTTGGTATGTGCACAATAAATACATTTTCTGGAGCCTACATAGCAGTATACTAATGATATGCTGCCATGATAGGCACCATGAAAGGAAAATTACAGTAAGTATGATACAATTTTCCATTCTTCTGCCCCAGTGGTAAATTAATTTGAAAAACACCTTGATTTTCAGCGCTGTCCCCCCTCCTCTTCCAGCCATTCAACCCAATTCCTGTGAAACAATGGTGTCAAGGCACTGCTCCCCACCCTGGACTCACAGGAATAATACTGCAGAGAGCAGAGACACATCTTTACATGGCACTGTTCTCTGCAGCATTTAGGATTCGGCCACCACCAAAAGGAAGAAGAGGGCAAAAAGGTCTGTGATGTCAACAGACTCAGTCGAAATCTATTTTTAAT